TCCGGAACGATGCGAAGCCGGCCATTGTCCATATGGCGTGGGGTTCGGGCCTGCTCAAAGGCTCCGAAAATTTTTTGGTGTTTTGAAGGACAAACGGTGCCTTTTGGTACGGTTTAGAACTATGATTCAGCCAGTCAAAATTCTAATTTCAAGAGGGGAATATTGGTGTGATATATTTTTCAGAAACCGAAGGAGGGTCAGGACCGCCCTGACCCCCCTCAAAATCCGCCACTGCTATGTTGAGACTGTAATTTGTAAATCCTTAGAGTGATTGGCTCCAAGTGACACACATGTAGGCCTTTTCAACACTATGTCCATCAAGTGGTTTAATCATTTATTGAAAAGAGTGTATTATATGAAGAAACAATCCCTATATGACCTTCTGTCTGTTTCAGTTCCTCCATACTGGACCCCCCGCGCAGACCGTATATTCTACATTACCAAAGGATGTGATACCAGTGATAGTTGTAAGAAGATGCAGAGCCAGATTGCACCGATGTGCCGCCCAAACGACTACCAAATGGACTGGCACTGCATCCAGTGCTGCAAGGGAGACAGGTGTAACTTTGAGGCTACGGTGAGTTCTTCACTTTTAGTTTACAGCTTAATTCAAGTTAAACTAGGCGGTAAGAATCAAATAAAGGCATGAAGCGTCAAAAGGAGATGAATATCAAAATTTTATGAAACTAGTTGTGCATCCAATGAATTAACATTTTTATTGTATCTTTTTCAGATGGGTGCAGGAACTGCAAGAGCCGGCGTTCTCAGCGTAGTTATTGGCCTATTTTCACTTCTCATGCTACGGATCTTCTAGTGCATTTTTATTACATCAAAACTTAGAAAACTGGAAAATTGTATTTACCACACATGATGCACCTTACAGTGATGGATTCTCGTGTATATATAGTTCATTAACAGAATTCATTGTGGATTCCCACATTTGTGCTAAAAAGCATCAGGAAACACTTATATAGCGATTAGTGGCTTAAAACTGACGGTGCCATGCGTACGAATAGCGTAGGAAAATCCTTGTACATAGCGCAAAAGATTTTCAATTTTTTAATACCTTTCACTATTTTTATATTATAAATACTTGAAAGATTTATCAGAATTCAAAATAATGTAAATAAATTTTAATAAAAAAAAAAAAAAAACTCGTCTGTTTTACATCGTTGTTATATGAAAATTGCTTCAGAAGTTTTTTTGTATGCATTTGAAGTGTTTTCGGAGTAAAATCTTAAAGGTGCCACTTATTGGCAAAATACTCTTCCTCATCGATCTGTTTACCGTTTAATTTTTTTTCCTATGTCCAATGCCAATTTTACGTTTTATATTCATTAAAAACAATACCCAAAAACATCCTTCATTTAAGACATTTTGCTTGTCTGAAGACACAGACCAAACCCGCTCGTGAACAGGAAACGAGCTTTTTTTCTACAATCATTGCAGTGTATCATCTCAGGAAAAGATTATTTGAATAATAACAAATATCACCATCCATGTGGTAATCGATACTGGAAAATTGTTTGCAGTACCCCTAAAAGATACTGGTATTATCAGTAAGAACGGGGAATTTTGTAGAAATGAAAGAAGACCCATCTTCTTTACGTGAAATGCACAAAATTTTGTATGCATATTCAAATCAAAAAGTGGAAATTAGAGCAAAATAATTAAAGGAATGATAGGAAACAATTTAAGCTGTATTTAAGTCCAAAATGCAACATCAGAAATAATCAATTGTGTGTGATGTTACAGCATTCGTACAACATAAGAGGGCACACACACACATAAAAAGAAATAGTTCAACTAACATAATAATAACAACAACAAAATGATACAAATATTTTACGTTTATTTTTTTTTTCATGGTAGTAAATAAGATGTTGTTTCTCTTCGAGTATGTACCAAATTCTGCACTTTCCCATATAATTTGCCAAGGATGTAAAATGGTGCATCGACAGCCAAATCTCTCCTCATTAAGTCCAATCCACAGTTACATTGTCAGTTAGTTAAAGTTCTCACGAAAGGTCAAATGGAATTTACTTGAGCTCCTTAACTGCAAGACCTGAAAGCAAACAAACAGTGGGACTAAAATGTTTCTAAGAAACAGTTTAAGAAAACTGCAAATGAAAAATTCCACCTGTATGCATTACATTATTGACTGGAACCTGAATCTCTGAACGCGCAAACTACTTCCAGGGAAAGTAATGGAGTAGTGAATATGTGTTGCCATGTTATTACAATAATCTTTTCAAAAAGCATTCACAATCTCATGCTTCATCATAAAGTATTTTTTTTATCCTGTTTCAAGATTTTACACCCTCTGGTTATAATGTCTTACCTGGTGGTAAGGACTGCTTTAGTTTCTCTGCCTTCTCTCTGTCTTGGATGACCAGTGTGTACAGATATTTGGTACATCTCACCTTGAACTTGACGTTATCACGGTTCTTCTTGATCTTTACAGCTGGAAACAGAGAGAACTCATACAATAGAGGCACACAAATAAATTATGTATAAAATCATTATTTATTCATAATATTAATAATTGTGGAAGATATAAATATGATGAATAAAATATAAAAAAAGATCGGCTTTATGAGCTTTAGCCTCTGTGGTCTAGGGCCCGAAAGTTCAAAAGCCCACTTTACTGCTCACAGCTATATTTCCTTTCTTTGGTAATCTGATCTGGAGACAAAGGTATACTAAACAAGTCCAACTTAGCCCATGTCTCTGCTCTGCTTCAGTCTAACTCGCCAAATAAGGTATCCCGATAAAATTATATAATACTATATAGGATTTTTTATGTCTAGAAATTCATACAAGACAATTTTCAAGCATCCAAGCAGAAAATTTGGCTCTGGTGTACTTACATTTAGCATCTTTCCTCCTAGCTGTTAGGAGAAAGTCCTTGATCTCCATAATTTGCCTTGGCTACAAGAAAAAATGTGTCATTAAAATAGTTATTACCATCAAGGGCTATTTCTGAGCAAAAACAATGATTTAAGTGTTTTTAATCTCAAATCTTTAAACCCTTGAAAAAGTTATTAAAATAATTGATTGAAATATCAAATCTGTCAAAAGTGAAATGAAGAATAAAATACATGTCTATAAGCACTTACCATCTTGCAATTTCTGTCGCTTCTGAAATGAAAAAAAAAAACTTAAATAAATTATATGTTGTCAAATTACCAAAAATCAAACTCGCTAATGTCACTTAAAGCTAGTCCGATTGGTATTAAATATTCCAGCTAGACATTTTATCAAACACAGACTTCACATGATTCGCTATCTTAATGACGTTTTTGGAGACTTGAAAATTTCAGCAGATAAGTAGCTTCTTGCACGCCACGGTCTATAGCAACTGTATATTATAACTGCATTCAGACGAAAAGGGATACAAGACCTACCAAAAGACTGAACAGTCAGCGAATGCTAGTTATATTCTAATCCACCTGATCTATTTAGTAGTAGGGACTTTGCATTTACCACATAGTCTACGCGCGTACAGTCAGATTCCTAGTTACGTCTCTTCTAAACATAAATAACAAGAAAAGTTGCAGCGTGTGTGGAGTGCAAATAATACGTTTTGAAAGAATAATTATATATATTTCACAAAATAATGCAAGATGCCTAAATCCAGCTTCATGAGGGACAGGATGATACTAGATTTAAAGTGTTCTACCAACAGACCTTAGGACAGTAGAGAATGCACCGGAAAAGACCGAAAAAAGAGAACCGGATGTTGAATAAAACTTGAATTATGCTGGAACGAATTAGAATAACGTTCAATCCAAAAATAATTTCTCAAAGTTTTGAATTAAAACCACAGACTTTTCTTTAAAGTAAAAGCTTCACAGTTATTTTCTTATTCGTTTAACATTTAATATTAACATATTAGTTAAATTTGTGTTTTGTTTTTGTTGTACAAATCTTCCATATTTTAGTTAAACCCAAAATGTGGAAGTGCAAGCCATCAGCCCGGGAGCCACCGGCTCATATNAATTGATTGAAATATCAAATCTGTCAAAAGTGAAATGAAGAATAAAATGTCTATAAGCACTTACCATCTTGCAATTTCTGTCGCTTCTGAAATGAAAAAAAAAAAAAAAAAAACTTAAATAAATTATATGTTGTCAAATTACCAAAAATCAAACTCGCTAATGTCACTTAAAGCTAGTCCGATTGGTGTTAAATATTCCAGCTAGACATTTTATCAAACACAGACTTCACATGATTCGATATCTTAATGACGTTTTTGGAGACTTGAAAATTTCAGTACTAGTAGATATAAGTAGCTTCTTGCACGCCACGGTCTATAGCAACTATATATTATAACTGCATTCAGACGAAAAGGGATACAAGACCTACCAAAAGACTGAATAGTCAGCGAATGCTAGTTATATTCTAATCCACCTGATCTATTTATTAGTAGGGACTTTACATTAACTACATAGTCTACGCGCGCACAGTCAGATTCCTAGTTACAACGTCTCTTCTAAACATAAATAACAAGAAAAGTTGCAGCGTGTGTGGAGTGCAAATGATACGTTTTGAAAGGATAATTATATATATTTCACAAAATAATGCAAGATGCCTAAATCCAGCTTCATGAGGGACAGGATGATACTAGATTTAAAGTGTTCCACCAACAGACCTTAGGACAGTAGAGAATGCACCGGAAAAGACCGAAAAAAGAGAACCGGATGTTGAATAAAACTTGAATTATGCTGGAACGAATTAGAATAACGTTCAATCCAAAAATAATTTCTCAAAGTTTTGAATTAAAACCACAGACCTTTCTTTAAAGTAAAATCTTTACAGTTATTTTCTTATTCGTTTAACATTTAATATTAACATATTAATTAAATTTGTGTTTTGTTTTTGTTGTACAAATCTTCCATATTTTAGTTAAACCCAAAATGTGGAAGAGCAAGCCATGTGTTAGTAGTCGCGTGTAGTTTATTTTAGTGCTGGGTTGTTCATAGATATGTCATAAATGTATGTGTAAATCTCATTCTTCAAAGGAATACGATATTTATTTACAAAGGTGAGTACTACTGGTTTTACAGTACTGTCTGATGTTCCGCACTACAAGCACGTTGAATGCCAATTGGCTACCACTGCACTAGCACTACTGGCAGTATGTACAGGGTACTACAGACTGTATGTACAGTGCTAATAGTATCAGTGATCGAGCAGTGTAGTGGCATTATTAAACAGTTACTGTAACCTCTGAGTAATACTTTATACTATTGCTTGCTCCAAGAATGCATTAGATCAGTAGGAGATTCCTATAAACTCTTTCAATGTTTAGTTATTTCCAGGACAATATGGATGAAGATTCAAGGAAACCACATCGACTTCGTCACAGTGGTCCTAAAGCAGATAAAAAGAAAGCCAAAAACAAACATGAACAGGAGCTGACACCTCAACAGAGAAACCCCAAAGCTTTTGCTTTCCACTCTGTCAACAAAGTAGCAAAGTCTGTGAAAAGGTAAAGTTGATATTTTTCAAATTAAATTCTGAAATCAGATCTTCCCAGTAGTATGTATATATATATATAACTTCAACCTTCAGGTTGCAATATTTCAATAAAAAATTATTATTAGTTTTCATGCATGTCTTGTGACATTATGCTGTTATTTACCTTACTCCAGGACCCTAGACATCCACACCAAGAAGACCCACATCCCAGAAGTAGACAGGACCCCTGTAGAGCCTCCGCCAGTTGTAGTAGCTGTAGTAGGTCCACCTAAAGTTGGGAAAACTACACTTCTCAGTTGCTTGATAAAGAACTTCACAAAACAAAAACTGACAAGTGTCCAGGGCCCTGTTACCATTGTGTCAGGTATGCATGGTCAGCTCTCATTCTGTAAACCGGTTATAATTTATAATTTTACTTCAACCAGTAAATTTTCAAGGCAATAGCAATTTTTTTCGTAAGTTTGTTTTCCAACTGAAAAAGTGATACGATAATTATAATTGTCAAAATTTCTTTTTCCTTCGAAAGTTGCAAAGAGCAATTTGGAAGAAAGAGAGAAGTTGTATTTTGATATTTTAAGCGGAGTAGATTTTTTCTTACCCATAAGCAAATTAAACTGTATATGTACAATATCTAAGATTTTGCAAAATGATTTCTGCATTCTAATTCAGAATTTTAATTGATTTTAGGCAAGAAAAGAAGACTAACTTTTTTGGAGTGCAATAATGATGTCAATTCCATGATAGATGTGGCTAAAGTGGCAGACTTGGTAATGTGCTCTAATAAGAATTACGAATAATGTTGTACTAATTACAGACCACAGTATTTTTTTAACAAACTTTATGATACAATTTCCTGCCCATTTTCAATATTTACAACATTTTATTTGAAAATGTACACAATATCTGTACCTAACAATGAAGTTTATGCAAATATGTTATTTGTTTGAAAATAGAGATAAAGATATTGTAACTTGATCTTCAGGTGCTTCTGCTCATAGATGCAAGTTTTGGGTTTGAAATGGAAACATTTGAATTTTTGAACATTTGCCAAGTTCATGGTTTCCCAAAGATCATGGGAGTATTGACTCACCTGGACATGTTCAGGAATACCAAGAAACTGAGGAAGACAAAGAAAAGGCTGAAACATAGGTTTTGGACTGAAATTTATCAGGTACCACTCCATAAAGGATGTAATGCTAACAAATTGTGAAATGACTATTTGATTAGTTTCAACATTTTATTTAGTAATAGTCTTGAGTAAACATTCACCAAATTGAAGTTTTTTAATGAACATGTTAAATACATAACATACATGTTTTGTTCAAGGAACATTTCAATTATGAGGAGTATGTTACATTTCAGGGAGCAAAACTTTTCTACCTGTCTGGAATGGTGAATGGTGAATACCAGAAAACTGAAGTTCACAACCTTGGGAGGTTTATTTCTGTGATGAAGTTTCGACCATTACATTGGAGAACCACCCATCCCTATCTACTAGCTGACAGGTAATAGAAAATTAACACAAATCAATGTTGCCTAACTGACAAAAAAATGTAAACATTTCACTATCACAGCCGACAGGTAACAGAAAATAACACACATCCCTATCTACAAAAAAAATGACAGGAAACAAGTTAAACGGAAGTTTATATTGAGACATGGGATAGTCTCCTGCATTAGCACTGGTCACATGAGAAATCAATGAACGTAGTGCTAGTCAGATTGACCTATTAAAATGTGTATTAACTTTTTCTCTTACTCTGATAGAATGGAGGATCTGACAGATCCTGAACTCATCAGACAGAATGCCAAGTGTGACAGGACAGTTTGTTTATATGGCTATGTGAGGGGAACACACTTTAAGAGCAACTGTAACGTCCACCTGCCAGGTAAGTGATGTTGAGAAAGGTCTTTTGTAATCATGAAAATGATCTAGTGGCATTTGAATCTTGTATGTTTGTGAATAATTAATAAAATAATGAACTTCCGGAGAACTGATAATATTTAGAAGAACTGCTGTGAACTTGAAAGTGGAATTTTATCTGGTGTATTTGTGAATGATCATTATGCTATGATGCTAAAAATGAGAGAAACAAAAGTTTTTATCGTGATTTTTGTTTTTAAATGCATATTTAAAAAATGGTTACTGCTTATAACATTTGAAACTAATGGTTGGATTACATGTTTAAGTTTGCTCTATAGACAAATTGAATTTTGGGTTATTGGATAGATATGCTTGGTCTACACTAGCACAAATGTTTCATCTGGTCTTTAATATCTTCGGAATAGGAGCGGGAGACTTTTCAGTAAAAGACATCAGTTTCCTCCCAGACCCCTGTCCTCTGCCTGAGAGGGAAAACCGACGCTCCCTGAATGAAAGTGAACGTTTGATTTATGCCCCTATGTCAGGTGTGGGAGGAATAGTTTATGACAAAGATGCAGTGTACATTGACCTAGGTGGGAGCCATTCTCATACTCAGCAGGCAGTGGAGGTAAGCAAGTTTAAACAGTGATTTGACAGAGTATATAATATTATATTCTCTGTTGAAAATGTCTCAAAGTTATATTTTCTGTACCTACATTGACCTTAAAAGAATTTAAAAAATCCAAACTAAAAGAAAAGTACCTGATGTCTTAAATGCACAGGCAGTCTTATGAATGGCCAGTCAACTAAGTCATTACATTAGAAATGGCATAAAACATTGAATCCAACTAAATAATTGACTTACAACTAGGAGAAAGAATTAGAAATGGTAATTAGTAGCCCTCCTGAAATTTCTCTTTCATTTTTGTGATGATTTAGGAGGATGCTCCCATCAATGAATTAGTTGCTACCATGAAGAACCCGATGAAGACCCTCGAAGACAAGATGGCCACCAGTGAGTTAACTCTGTTCAAGAATGCAGCACCACTCACAGAGGCTGACATACACAGGTGGGTGGCATCTGGGCAGGTGGATAGGATTTCAAAATAAATGACAAAAATAAAATGGTTTTATGATCCCTTTAAGAGCAAAAACCTGACATGTACCTGTTAAGGTGTACTTCATACAACCATTTTGTGACTAAATCTGATATTTATATAGTGGTTAAATATATGAAGGAAGAAGCTTTTGAACAAATTTGGTGTTCTTCCGCTTTAATAGAATGAACCTATCTGGACAGCAGGAAGAGAAAACTGTGGCTGATGCAGTAAATGGCAGAGACAGAAGAAAAGCAGTCTTTGGTGAAAATACAGATGATGAAGAGGATAAAGATGATGATGATGATGATGAAGAGGATGAAGATAGTGATGATGAAGTTGGAGGTGATGATGAGGATACAGATGGGGATGAGGAGCAGGATGAAACAGAGGAAGATTTCAGTAAACCTGGAGCTCTCAAAACAGAGATGTTTACAAGATCAGCAAAGAAAAGGAAAATGGTATATGCATTTCCATTTCAGCTTGTAATCCCAGATAATTCTTGACATTTTCTGCTGTGTTTACTTAATAGTTACTGTTCATTCTGCTTCTAGATGGCAATGCTGTTATATAAGCATACTTTAAACTGCTAAATATTTTATCTTCCAGGATGGAGAAGGGGAAAACTTGGCATTTGCTGATAGTGATGATGACCTAGAAGAAAATTTTCAGTTGTTTACACCTGTAGCTGAAAAAAAGAATACACCAAGAAAACAATCAAATATAAATAGTTCGAGTAGTAGTCGTGGAAGAGGAGGAGGACAGCACATGGATGTTGAAATCAATTATAAAGCTGATTCAGAAACTGATTCTGAAATGGAATCTACTGAAATAGATGATGGTGTTGTGGAAAAAAAGAGAAAAAAGAGGACTAAGGTTAGTGAACAAGAACAGGTTACACACAGGAAAGGATCCAGAGAAGAAAAATATGGTGGATTGAATGACAGAATAGATGAAAAACAAGACTCTTCAGATAATGAATGTGGTGAACATGTCGGTAATGGTGCTGAAGATGGTAGTGAGGAAGATGAAGATGATGTAGAGTATCAAGAAAAAGAAGATTATGATGCTAGGGAGGATAATCTGAATGAAGAATCTGGTATGGTTGTAGTCTTGTCTTGAATTGCATTTTTGACTTGTTAATAGAAGGTAATAAAGGAGTTTCATTACAGGTTGGAATAGAATGTGCAAATGAAATTGGAATACGCAGTTGTCTCCACATTGACAAAAAATATTAATTGATTTCAAAATGAAGTTAAGATACCATTTTTTATCCCTAAACTTTCATAGTTTTTAAAAATAATTTTAATGTTTTGTTGGATGAAAGAATTGGAGATTTGAATAGAATTATAAAATTGCTTTTTCGCATGTGTTTTTAAAAGGACTGTTGCGGTGGAAAGAAAACATTGCAGAAAAAGCATCTCAATCATTTCTTAAGAATAAACAAACCAATTGGAGGAAAATTGTGTATGGACACGGTGAGTTAGTGAATTTCATTAATTTTTACTTACAGTTAATAATTATTCATTGTGCCAAATTTTGAATTAATCTTGATAGAAGTAAAACTACTGACTGTTATGCAATCAGAAATATATCTAACTAAGGGAATTTCACTTTTGTCAAGTCTTCCTGTCAAGTTCTGCTTTTACTCACCAAGGTTTCCACTCTTTTTTTTACAGGTCTTCTCTGTCTTTCTTCTTCTTTCCTGAGTGTGATAATGATATATACAATATTATAACATCATTGCCCATATGGTTATAAAATTTAGATGTCTGTACTGTTAAATTTCTTTTTTAAATTCTTATTTCATTTTGTTTCAGAAAGTGAAGACTATGATGGTGAATCTGAAGAGGAGGGGGAAGTGGGTGGCCTTTTTAAGATTTCTAAGAAGAAAAAAGATCAGAGAAAAGGAATTGATGGCTTTGATTGCTCAAGAGATGCTACTGGACAAAACCAGGAATGGAATATTCAGGAGGTACAACTCCTAAAAAGATATGAACTTTGTATCATTAGATCGAAGTTAAAATTGTGTTCGGTCTTACCTAAATATGGAATGTACATGTGAAAAGTACAAATGAGTTAACCTTGATGAATAGGTTTGCAGTACGTAGTTGGTGTTGGAATTGGGGTGTAAATGTGCAAACATAAATGTTTTAGGAGAGCAAATGACATATTATAAAATAAAAATGCAGTGGTCAAAATTGGTAGAGGGTACAAGGTGTTGTCACAAAGTTTTTTTTTTTTTTTTGTTAGTTACTTATATTTTTTTACTTAACACATGGTTACTAAGCAATCCACTCTCACAAGATTTAGAGATAGTATTAAGTGTTGTGTCCTGTATTAGCGTGCTGATTATCTCTGATTTCATCTCTGATTAGCTTTTGGAGAGCATCCAGGACTGCTTTGTTACTGGAAAGTGGGACAAAAGTGAAGATGCCAAGGCTTTACTGGATCAAGATGGTAAGTTACATTTATACTGCCATTATGTATTGTTTAAAAATATTCACATATGACTATGTATGTCAGTTTGAATAAAAGTTTGATATCCTACCGTTTTAATGTTTTCTTGCATTGTTTGTTTTGAACCCTGTGTGTTATATTATAGATGATTTGTATGGGGCATTTGAAGACCTTGAGACGGGCGAAGTCATGGAGGATCATCAGCAAGAAGATGAGGAGGAAGAAGAAGATGCAGAAGATGGTGGTGGAGGTGAAGATAAAGGTACATTGTACTTTGAAGTTCATTGAACTCTGTATTCTTTATGTACAAATGCAGTACACATTTGTTCAGTTATTCCTTCAGATTATTCCTTCTTTTTGGTAGCTACTTAACCTGTATTGCCCACAAATACAAGTACTACTTAATAACCTGTGTTGCCCACAAATACAAGTACTAACATGATGTATTCATTACCCTAAGGAAAGTTCTGTATTGATTGCTAACTCGGTTGCATGTCTTTGGATGAAAATTTGATATATTGCCATATGTATACTGAACAAAAATATAAACGCACGAAAGAATATGTAGATTTATTTTCATATATGGAACTAGAGTATATAGCCAAAAATAACAGCATATTTTTCTCGACAAATAGACATCACTTTGAGAGCATTAGGGGAAGTTTAAATGCACAGTCCAAGAGTTAGGGCATCAAATACACCATGGGGTCAACATCCTGAGTTCACAGACACCATTAAATTTGTGCAGAGCAGTACACCAGCGGCGCATTGACATCACTAAGTTGTCAATAGAGGCCTAAGGGATATTATCCCATTCCTCCTGGAGTGCTTCTTGCAGTTGGCAAACATTTTTGAGAGCTGGAACATGATGGCTGAAAACTCTGACCCAGAACATTCCACAGGTTTTTGTTGGGCGACATGGTGCATGAGGGTGGTTCCTAATGCTACCAGTGTCTCTGAAGCATGTTCCCAGACGGCTGACAGTGGAATGATGCACATTTAGGCATGCTGCAACGTCTGTTACTGACAAGCCAGCATTGAGCATGCTGATGGCATGCTCCCTCATGGTTCCAGACATCTGTGGCATGTTGACAAGTGGCAGAAATACACATTTTGGTGTGTCCTTTTATTGCCTAGACGGTAGAGAGTGTCCGAGTATTGGTCTTGCAGATTGACCTCTACTCCGTCATGCTCCATTAGTCTTATGGGTGTAAAAACTGAACCTTTGAGTATACTCATGGGGAGCGGCCAAGTGAAACCAGACCACTATAATTGATCAAAACAAATCCATCAGTTCACAAATAAACCATCAAGCTGGGCATATTTCATGATTATCCATTTCAACTGACCATTTTAGTTTCGTGCGTTTATATTTTTGTTCAGTATATTTCCAATTTTCCTTATATCCGTTGTGTATCTATATCTACATGTTTTCATGTAAGTATGTGTAAATATATTTACTCTATTGCAGATGTGGAAAAACCTAAAATGAAACGTGACATGACTAAGGAAGAAAGGAAGCAAAAAGCACTGGACAAACGTGCAGAAAAGAAACGCAAATTGAAAGCCATGTTTGATGCGGAGTACGATGCCAGTGGCGGAGGTGGTGAAGAATCTTTTTATGATGAGTGGAGGAGTGAAATGGAGCAGCAAGCACAGGTGACAGTAGTAGCAACACAGTTATATGGACCCCACCCACAGTCGTATTTCAAGGGGTGTTAAGTCAGCTCTTATGATTCATTTAGCTAATGTGCTCTACAAATGGGAGTCTGTTGCCTGCGTGGTTTAAAAGCTCACTATTTTATCCAAGTGGGTCATCAGTGTGAAAGTTGATCTAAATGATTTCATTGACAGTCTTCTTCTTCCCCTGGACCATTACTTCTATTCACTCTGTATGTTAAAGCAGGGTCAGTTAGATACATTAATGTGAGGATCAGTGAGGAATATAACCAGTGTGAAAATAACTTACACTTTCTCTCATCTTAAATAATAAGATTTGCCAACAGCTAATTATATCCTTTTAGTTAAACCGAGCCGAGTTTGAGAACCTAGATGAAGACTTGAGGGTGCAGTATGAAGGTTTTAGACCAGGGCTGTATGTGCGTGTGCAGCTGGACAACATGCCCTGTGAATTTATTGACCATTTTGACCCAACCTACCCAGTCATCCTTGGTGCTTTACTAAGTGCAGAGGACACTATTGGTTATGTAAATGTAAGTCAGTGGTCAGGGCAGGCTGTATAGCACTCCTTAACACTTTTTATGTTCATGTTTAAGGTTACTATACCTGCAGTGACTCACAACTGGGTGTTTTTGCATTAATGAATACTCCTTCATTTTCAAACTCCACAAACTACTATGTATCAGTAGGTATTTTTTCCAAAGAATAACTTACAGAAAGATTTGTTGTTTTGTGCACCTTTCTATTAAGATTAAAGTGTTAGGTTTTGATGTTTGTTTTACAGTATTAACTCGTTCTTGATAGCACTATATAGAACCCATTAGTATATAGTTCAACTTTACTTTATGTCAATACATACATTTCTGAGTCATTACTATTGTGTCAAAACATTAATGTTTATTTTTTCAGCTAAGAGTAAAGAAACACAGGTGGCATAAGAAGATTTTGAAGACCAAGGACCCTCTCATTATTTCCTTGGGTTGGCGTAGGTTCCAAACCATTCCTCTGTACTCTATTCAGGATCACAACATGAGGCAGAGGCTGCTGAAGTATACGCCTGAACACATGCATTGTACTGCTAGTATTTGGGGTCAGTAGCACTTCATATTGATCTTCCCAGTCTTTTTAGGCCTATTTGTAATTATAAATACATAACACTATGTTCCACTAAAAGCACCAATCTGTGTATCTGTTTAAAATAACCACCAAGGTTAAAAATACAATTGTTCTTGTCTTTTGTTTCAAATTATTAGTACATACAGAATACAGTATCTACTTACAATGACTTCTGGTAACTTGTAACTTTGATGTATACTGCACTAATACAGCTCTGCAGTGGTGCTCCCACTCACACACAACCCTATGCACACTGAATTGTTTATCTCACATCTTCAGGTTAAGCCAGACGCCAGTGGATAAATGTATCATTGTCAAAGTTTTGTCTAAAAAATAGCTTTATTCATTGACAACTAAGATCAACCAAGTATCAAGAGTATTATCTGCCCGGTGTTTGTATTGCAGGTCCCATCACCCCCCAGGGCACTGGTTTCTTGGCTGTCCAGACAGTGGCCGGCACTGTGAGTAGACTGGACGCTACTTGTTTAGTGGTCATATATAGCTGTACATGTGATTAGGGGTGCTTTAATACATCATGGATTCCAATTACTGTTTTAACTTTATTTTCTTCCATGAAAATATTTTAAAAGATAAACAAAGTATTAAATATCAAAAAGTAGTTTACAGCATATACATTCAGTATTTTTCATGGCTCACCTTAATTTTACAAATAAAATACCAGACATGCTTTTTGAGACAACACTGAGGAGACCATTTATTTGTCTTTATTACATTTAATAGCCAGACTTCAGAATAGCTGCAACTGGAGTTGTGTTGGAGCTGGACAAATCTGTGACTGTTGTGAAGAAGCTTAAACTCACAGGAACTCCCTACAAGATCTATAAAAAGACTGCATTTATTAAGGTCAGTAACAGGCATTTTTTAAACAGAGAACAAGTACAAAAATAGATAGAAAAACGGGTTTCAGCCAAGCGGAACTGGTCTGATATGCTAGTTTTAATAAAGACTGTTTCTAAATGATTCCAACCATTTATCAACTAAAATCAGGATATATCAAAATGAAATGCATGCTGTTTGTGCTACATGTTTGTCCTAGCTGAATACTGAAGGTAGCCACTGCTAAGAAAGACCCTGTTCTGATGTTTTTACACCTTAACTGTTGTTGCCTGCCTATTATATTCAGTTATTACTGTTACTACAGCATCATCTTAGCCAGTAGAATGTATTATTGAAGCCTTCTTGTGAAAAATCAATCTTACTGAAATTAGAAACATTTTGTACTGAAAATTTTGCAATGTGAAATGTTGTCTGTTTTTTTTTTTTTTTTTTTTTTTTATATATATAACAATATGAGAAGTTTTACTTCATGTTAAGTGGGTCTATTGACTATTTCAGGGCATGTTTAACTCTGAACTGGAAGTGTCCAAATTTGAAGGTGCCAGCATCCGTGCTGTTAGCGGCATCCGTGGCCAGATAAAGAAACCAGTTCGCACACCTGAGGGAGCTTTTAGAGCAACTTTTGAGGACAAACTCTTATTGAGTGGTTAGTTGTGTGATTGGCTCTGTAAATAGTTTGTCAGTTATTTGTGTCGAGATGTTCAGCTTTGGTTAGATGTTTGAAATTATAATATTTCTAGCAAGTCTGAAAACAAAAATTTAGTCTTTACCAAAAATGTTTATTTCTGCCAGAGAATTTTAATATTTGTCTACATGGTCATAACTGAGATAATGCAAAGCATTGAGCTAAAATGACATTAATTTTCAGACATTGTATTTGTGCGAACATGGTACCGTGTTGAGGTACCAAAGTTTTACAACCCTCTCACCACCCTCCTCTTTCCCCTACAACAGAGGAGTCAGTGGGAAGGCATGAAGACATTGGGACAGCTGAAGAGGGAGAAGGGGATAAAAGCAGAGGCCAATCCAGATTCTTCCTATAAGGTACATCTCAACCTGTCCTCATGACAACATTTGGTTCTCAGTTTTCACCATCTTGATATTGAAATGTGTACTGGTTTTACTTTTTTTGTGAAAAATTATGAAAGCTTAGGCTGACACTTTGGATTCATTAATGTTGTGCCTGATTTGTTTTGAAGGGCATTAATATATCTTGAAGATTTTCGTAATTGAGTTCATGAGGGCACAAGTATATGTATCTTCCATAGTAAAGTTCTAGCTATGTATTTTACATGTAATGCATTTGCATCTGCACACTTTTTGTGAAGCACAATTCTTATTGAGGAAATACCATGTTTCAGTCCATTGAGAGAAAGGGTCGCAGTTTTCATCCTTTGGTTATACCCAAGCACCTGCAGCGTGATTTACCATTCAAAGACAAGCCAAAGGTGGCCACAAGACAGAAGGATCCAGTGCAGGCACAGAGGGTAGCAGTTGTCAGAGAACCCAAGGAAAGAAAGGTTTGTATCAAGGCCTTTCATCACATCGTGTGTTACACTTAATCTGTATCCAAACAATAAAGGGATAACAACTGTTTGTATGATATCCATATTTCACAATAAATACATTTAAACAACTCATATAAGTATAATAAATGCTATTTTACCACCAAAACAGCAGTTAACACGATTATTCTGGAATTTGTGAGCTCCATAGATGGCTACATTCTGTAATAATCTCTTAAGAGAATATTACAAAAAACCAAACTATTTAGAAAAAAACCAGAGACTAACTTTGAATGTAGGTGTAGATTAATAATCCAATTAATAATTAGTAAGTATGGGAAAATTGTCTGTTACCCCAGGAAAATTTAATTTTTTTGGCTAAAATGAAGAGTTGTTATCCATTAACTTGTCAAAAACCTTGAAGATGCTGCAGTATGTTGAATAGTGATTAACATTAAGTAACCTTTTAGCTTGTCTTACTAGTTCAAAATCAGTGCTGATACAATTTCTGTATTGTATATGAAAAAATCTTATGTACTCCAGAAAGGAATGTGTTAACTACAATATAGTTATTACTTTAATTCTCTTCATTTTTTAAGGTGATTGTGTTGAATCTTTTCCAGTTTTCTAAATTAAACATATAATTTGCATGTTTTTAGGTTGCTGAGTTAATGAAGATGTTGAAGACATTACATGAGCACAAAATGAAGCAAAGACGTTCTCAAATGAGAGAGCGTGCACAGCAGCATGAGAAGGATAAAAGAAAAATTGAAATGAAAAGGACAGAAAAGCAGAAAGTTGTGAAGAAACAAATTTACAGAGTATTAGGCCAAATTGAGAAAAAGAAGAAAAGGCATGAAAAGGAATAAAATTAATAAGTGGACAACATTTTTAAATATCATAGAGAAGACCATGCATACATCCAATACAAGTCACAATCCTGTATCTTTGAACATTTTCTTTAAAATCATTAAATTATCAAATAGTCTCTCTGAAACTGCATTTGTATGATATGTATCTTTCTGAGCTACAGAAATTAAATGGAGAACTAAAAACAAAATGATCTTTGTAACTTCTTTACTATGTTAAAAAGTGAAATATAACCCAGTTGAGCAAGACATTAAACAACACTTTGATAATGTTGACAAATACTGATAAATACAGATGAGAAAGTAGGTCAAGAAACATACCTACAATAATAAAACTAAATCAAATTTTACTTAGGCAGTCAATTAGCAGTTTATTACTAAGAATTTTAAAAGAAAATTTTACTTTGAGAGATATTCTAAGTGACAAGCATACTCACAAGATTGGTGCCAAGTTGAAATTTTGTTGCCTATGTCCAATTGTTGTTACCTAGTATGGTGGACATGCGAATATATACTGACAGTCAATGAAAATGCATCAGAAAACTTTCTTGTACTTTTTTACCGAGAATCAATTCCAACCATATAAACTAGTACATATGCACTTGTTTGGTCATAAGAGAGTGGGCCGACCACTCGAATGTTTAAAATTTCCGCTTCAGTGATTTTGTGATCAGCTGTTACAAAATCATGTTTTTCCTGTTTTCGTGATTGGTATGAATTAATCAGGTTCAATATATGGTGATTAATTAAGCCTATTTAAGGTAGTCACCAAATCCAGTATGACACATGACAAAAAAGTTAAGTGATCCCACAGCTGACACTGGAAGAGCAACTGCAGGCCCTGGGGATGCTGGAGGCTGGGTAGAACCAAAGAGATTTGATCATGTGACCTTGCATTTTAATGATCTTTTCTGACTTTTGTTTCACCTTGTGTGACTGAATAATGGGTCATATTTCACACAAAAGCTGTTATTTTCTTAATGTGCCAAGGAACTTAAAATATTATTTGATAAATAAATGAGGCATTTTCATTGACTGTCAGTATGTCATTTTGTTAGATGTTCATACCAATTTTGTAGTAATTATTGTACCACCAGCGTAGGTGCTGGCTGTACTCATGGTTTTAGTCTCGACCCCTCTGTGACAAGCATACTCACAAGATTGGTGCCAAGTTGAAATTTTGTTGCCTATGTCCAATTGTTGTTACCTAGTATGGTGGACATGCGAATATATACTGACAGTCAATGAAAATGCATCAGAAAACTCTGTTATTGGCAGGTGTAACCATTATGGTCCTCTTTCATCTCCGAGTTTGGGGTCAAGCGGTGCATTTTCACAGGAGCAGCAGCCATTAGATGCTGAAACCTAAGATCTAATAAACGTTTATTAGATCTTAGCCGAAACTAAAAACTCAATTCTGGAGTCATTAATGCTAGAGACCTTGTTTTTTGCAATTGATAGAGAGCGTCAAGCCCAACACTGGAGGTAGTGTCCATTCTTTTTTCATAAGGTTTACCAGTTACGCTATATCAAAAAGTACATTGTGGTGGTGAAAGTAAAATGTGCAATACGGTAATATGCATTTTTAACATCTGGAAAAAATAACAAGGCATAGTGAGGCAGACAACATATGGTCAAAAAGACTTTATTTCATGAAATTCGAACATCTGGAATTTCTAAGCACCTTCCATTTCATAAATATCAACCAAAATGACCTTTTCTTCATTTCAATTAAGTTCTTCTGTACGAGATTTATGGCGAATTTCATGAAGTTGAATAGGAAGACATATACTGGCAATTTAACTGTGACCTTGAAATTGACCTTTGACTTACTTTTCACGATGAACTGGACTTTGCAACACTTAAGTCCTTTATATCTCCAAAACTGGCAGAGATTCGCCCATAGTCACCATTAAACTTGAATAGGAAGTAAACTCTAGTTAGAAACTCACAATGACAGAATTACTTAAAAGACTGAAGTTATGCATGTTCATTACAATCTTATTCCCTTTCATGCTAATCAACTCATGAAATCAGAATCCGGTTCAACATCAATTTAGCAAAGGTAACTCTCATGTAATTACTTTGACCTTGGTTTTGGCCCTAAGATGCCAACAAACTGACAGCACTCTTTAATACATGTAACTCTTTTTAAACACTGGTTATCAAATTGATACAGTTAATGTAAAAAAATACATGTAAAAAAAATATCAAAAATTCAAATCTATAAATGTCCAAAGCAAAATCTAACATTCAAAATGGTACAATTTGCTATAAACTTAAAAAAAAATTGTATGTTTTTTTAAAAACTAAAAAACCACTTAGTTTAACTTTTAAAATAATGCATATTAAACTACTATGATTTAGACTGGGTTCGATCCAACTGGATCTGCGCAGATCGATCCATCTGGATCGGTCTATCTCTCTGGGGAGTCTCACTTAATTGCTATCAACTTAACTGGCTTAAATGTCTGTCACGTCTACCGAATCAGCTGGGGGGTAAAGACAATAACCCCCTTGTATCTTTACTAGGCCTGACAGACATTTAAGCTGGTTAAGTTGATAGCAATTTAGTGAGACAGAAAGATAGATCGATCCAAATATCTGTGGAAATGGTCCCTTAAATTGGTTATAATACAGGACGCATAATACTAATAAAAACAATGCTTGAAATTTGCAGTAAAGCCCGACGTCCACAGAACGATTTTTCGTCGGCCGACACACTTACAACAAAATATCGGCCTGTCTGCGCTGCTCCACGACAACTTTTCAACAAGTCAGGAGAGAATCAAACATGTTAGATATAAACGTCGTACCGTAGTGTGTGCGCTTTCCTACGGCAATTTGTCACGCTGATCATTATCTTCAGCCAATGGTTGCACCATCTGATATCACGTGCCCACGTCAGAATTCAATATGGATGAATTTTCAGCGTCATAAACCATTTAACGACGTAACGCTGCATCAAGGCGACTACATCTGTCTAAACTGACAAACTGTTGTCATCCTTTAGGCTGTATTTTTATGGTCTATGAGTATTGCGTTGATTTAGAAAATTTGGGCATTTCAATTTGCTCATTTTTAAATTTAATTAATAAAAGTAATCTTGTTATACAGGGTTTCCTTGTTGTTAGAGATCCAGATGGATGTCAGAGGGTGGATGGAAAAAAAACTGTTACTACCTGCCTGGTCGCTCCAGGTGGTAGAGGCCAGGGTTAGACCCTCTGAAGATGCCTATGAAGGAATCGTAGAAAGAATGGGGGCAGATTTCCCTACCCTGCAGACAAGGATATAGATAGGTCCCACTCTCATTATTGTGGACAAACGTGGCACAATACAAGTGGCCAACTTTTCCGATGCAGATGAGTGCCTGAAACCTCAAGTTGTCTTAGTCATTCCACCCTGAGACCCACCTTTGGTGTTTTACCTACAGATCCAACTTACGTACTAGGTTTGAAACGGACCTCGAGACAAATGATGAAGAGAGGAATCTGACAGAACAGACAAAACAATGTAGCCCTTGAAGAAAGTCAAAATTGTACTGCTTTCTGTCACTGCCAAGAGGATCCTGGAATTCCTGTTGTGCATATGGGGACTATGCAGGGGCACTCACATATAAAGTAACAGCCAACCATCTGAAACAAATGGTTGGCACCACGATGCACCACGCGATCGCTCTTGAGAAGATTTAGTTGTACCACAAAAAAAGTGCTGTCCCTACCAAACAGAAGGAACAGGCAATACTCTCAGTAAGTACCAGAAGTTTATTTTACTGCTGTTAGAATAGAGTAAAACACTTTATAATGAACAAGATGATACCATGAACACAAATGCCAATCAGCTAAGCCCAACAAAAAGTCACTCCGAGGAAGCTGACAAAATTCTAAATTCTAAAAGCAACCAACTCAAAGGGTCAAAGATGGTATAGAATAAAATGGAAAAACAAAGAGAAAAAGTCTGGTTGGGTAGTAGCAGAGTTGGTGCTGCAGATTCAAAAAGATCAGACCACCTGAAAATTGGCAATGTGGGGAATTCTTTGTTTGGTGTTGCGACAGAAAGTCGATCAAATAAGGTGATCTGTAATGTAAACAAATTGTATTTTTTCAGCAACAAAAAAATGCTTACCACCTTTACAAAATTTTCAAAGCATTTTGATTCAAACGATAGATTAGACAACATGGTTAGGGAAATTGACGCTAACCACCATTTAAATGTTTTGATAAGGTGGGGTGGGGGGCAGAGAGACAAACTGAGAATGATAAAAATTTGACTTAAATCTGATCACAAAATTCATGCTTGTGAGTACAACAACAGCTAAACTGAACAACAAAATAAGAAACACTATATTTGGGGTAAATGACTTGGCACATGGCAGATTGTTCCCAGATACAGTAATCATACCAGCAATGACGTACAGACCAGAGATATGGGCAATCACAAGACATCAGAGAGAAAGGCTGTCCATGGCTCAGGGGAGTATGCAAATATCAATACTCAATATAACAAAGAAAACAAGATCCAGAAACAAAGTTGCAAGACATTTTAGCATAGCACAGACAGAAAATGGCCAATGGCCAGGGTATCTGGCAAGCATGAACACTAGAGAGTGGGCCAGGAAAACAACAGAATAAACACCAAGACATCGAAAAAAGAGTCACAGGAAGACCAAAGTCAAGATGGAGAGATGACATTGAGCAGAGGACAGGTAGTAAATGGATCAAACACATGGACATGGACACAAGTGGCATACAATTGTCAAGCATGGAAAAATTGTTTTTGATATATCTCTAGTGTACAGATCAAGTGCTGTTTCTCTAAAACTCAATAAGCAATCTTTACTGTCCATTACAATGCTTTAACCTTCAGGAGAAAGTGGGTCCCTAGAATATTGAAGATGAGATTGATACTTCACAAAAAGACACTAGCAGATAAATATTGCTAACTTTGGTCCTAGACTTAACAAATTCCTATAATCTTGAAAATATCTAAAAATGAATGCCACAAGCAAACAGATTAATGCCCTCTCTAAACTGAGATTAAGCAACCTAAATTGAGACTAAGCAATCTCTGAGCTTATTAATAAACTGGCCATTAAAAATGTGTGCACAAGCAAACTGAAGTATTAGAAGTAGCACAGACAGCACACAATGTTAACATTTAACGTTACAAGCTGAATAAGTTATTATATCTCACAGTGGCATTAATTAAAAGCAACTGCAGTACTCTATGTGCTTTTGAACATGCTGGGTATTTCATATAAGCTGGAAAAACAGACTGAAATGGAAAGATCACATACTTTTCTTTGTTCATGCTGACAATACCCAATTCACTGCTCTCCCCATTATTCTCCATTTGTCTTAGCATTTATTAGAGAGAGAGAGAGAGCCATTTATTCTCCATTCAATCTCCCAGTTATTCTCCCTTTCTCTTAGCATTTACTTAAGAGCCTCTTGATATTTTGTCAAAAAGTGATGCTACAAAAAGGTAATTTTTTATACAATAAGAAAAAGGTTATAAGAATGCCTATCAAAACATTGCTAAGGTAAAAAAAATCAGAAAATAAAGATATGATTTCAAAACCAGGTGACAAAAGTTTCATCAAAACTGTAGCTTTCTGAGAACATAGACATAAAAGACAATGATTTTAAACAAAATTAGACAAAGAAAATTGTACTATATTGTCTGATTGGATAAAACAAAATACAAAAGATGAAGTATTATATCATTCTGTTCAACCTACCATGAGAAGGACATCAGATTTTTTTACTACTATTTTTCTCTTCCATGAGAAGTGACAATCAGCGTGTTGACACTTATCAATGCCACTGTGGCAGTTCATGTTGTTTTACACAGTTACCATACCATACCATACCATCCAAATTTTCATTATCATGTCTGACTGAGAATCCAACTTTACCAGCAAAGCCTTCTTATTAATGACATAAAAATGTTACATCTTGTGCTTTTTCTTTGTTGGCTTCTCAGAAGAACCCCCTAAGTGTAGTCTCTTCCTGGCAGTCTGTTCAGGTTTGTCAGTATTCAACACATGGGAATCTATTGCTGAAATTTAAAAGATAAAAACCATCAAGAACAAAAAACTCTTCAAGCATAAAAATGCCCAACTTTTAACTTTTATAGCTTCTTAGTAGCTTCATGTAGATGATGAGCAGCATACCTTATTGAGAGATGATATGGCACCTTTACTCGGAATACAGGATACTATATATCCATGACACATACTCACAGACATGATAACCCTTTAACTTATTCATGTCAGTTTCATATAATAATACCTAGCATCCACATTTACCTTCTGTTTTCCTGACAACCTTCACAATAAGACAAGACACAGGTGCCTGTTCTGGATTTGACCAAGTGAGGAATGAGAATTGTCGAGCATCTTCCCTGAGAACTGGAAGGATTTCATCTCTCAAATGGTGACAGCCTGGTCCACTAATGTCAATGACACAATAGATCGATGTGGTTGCAGGGGTGGTGTTGGAGGTGGTGGTGGAGGGTGTACATTTCTGCAACACCATCCTCAGGACCTTCCTGCAGTATACTGCATAGTTGATAACCTCTTTGTCTACAGGGCCCAGCAGAAACAGAATGTTCTGAAAGGAGTTTACATTTGACAAAGCTCTCAGTTTTGACTTCAGCATACTGATGACACAGACCTTCTCACCATCTTGTAAAACAACTTCTTGTGGATAGCAAATGACCTGGAATTTGCTATCAGTTTCAGCAAGGAGCCATTGTTTGATGCAAGAACATTCTGAGAGATCATAAATTTGCTGGCGTTCCTCTGAAATGTTCTCTTGTCTGGATCTAAACAGTGACTGCAGGTCAGCCATCACATGCATGTGAGGCTGCACATGCTCAGTGAGACCTAGACGAATAACTCTGTCAGGGTCTGTGAAATCATTCAATTTCAGCTGTAAGACATGGACTCTGAAATCTGTGTGGCCTGATGACTTCCTCTTTGGTCGCATTATCACATATTTTGCCATGTCTTCATAACCAAGGTTTCTCTGTGTTGCCCTCACATTGTCCCGAACTGCTCCGCGATACCCCTCTGTAACCCTTTGCTGAGTTGCCTCTGGAAGACTACTATTATGTTGGACCAACTTTCTAAAAAAATGCACTTTCTCGTTTTTAAGGTGCAAAAGTAATGACTCTAAATCTTCATGGAAGAGCAGTTTTTCTTCAGTTGAGGCTTCAAACCTAATAAATATGAGAAAAATTTTGTCAGCAAAACTGTGTACATGTGCATAACCACAATATTGTGATCAAAATGCGATCTAAAATGCTCATGTCTGTAAATGATATGTATGTCATAGAAGAACTTCACTAAGAAGAGGTCAATTTATATTTTGTGCACATTTTTCATTCACTTTCATTCACTTACATGTTTTTTAATACTGATGAAACTTCCAGCAGATAATGTAGCACTTCTTTTGCTTTGAAAGCATGGTGGCCAAAAGAGCTATTCCACACAATAGATGGTGCTTCAGCAGTATTATAAAGCTCAAGACTCTTGATTATCCTTCGGGCTTCTGGAGATGTGATGTCACATTCCACTATGTACAAAGTGGCATCAGGAATTTCCACAGCTAGAAGAAAATAGTTTTAATTTGGTTGACATTCTGTGTTCTAGCATATCAATACCATATCATGAAAGTATCAACACACTATTTTTAAAATCCAACTCTAATGTTCTCACATGAAGAGTACAATAGAGTTGGATTTTAAAAATAATGATGGCCCTCCCTCATGTCGTCTATACAAAAAAAAAAATCATAAAGGATTCTATTTTTGCGCTCCTCAGATTCATTTTCAATTCAGAGACAGTTATGCCTTTTCTTTCCCTCTGTTGCCACTGTCCACAGTAAATCAACAGGTTTAGAAAGTGAATTACAATAACAATCCCATGACTCATCATAGTTCTCAGTTGATTAGGAGGTATATTTGACATATCATTTATTATTTAAGCTCAAACACACATCATTTACCGTAACTTAAATGGTCATCTGATATCAACACTTAAATGTAACCCTCTGTGAAACTAATGAAAGTGTCTGTAAATATCTACTTTACATCTATGAAAACAATGAAATGCAGTCACAAAATGTTAAGATAAGATACACTGATATATCAACTCACCCTGACTGCTCAGCGAGGGATTCTCTTTANCAAAAAAAAGAGTCACAGGAAGACCAAAGTCAAGATGGAGAGATGACATTGGGCAGAGGACTGGTAGTAAATAGATCAAACACATGGACATGGACACAAGTAGCATACAATTGTCAAGCATGGAAAAATTGTTTTTGATATATCTCTAGTGTACAGATCAAGTGCTGTTTCTCTAAAACTCAATTAGCAATCTTTATAATACTGTCCATTACAATGCTTTAACCTTCAGGAGAAAGTGGGTCCCTAGAATATTGAAGATGAGATTGATACTTCACAAAAAGACACTAGCAGATAAATATTGCTAACTTTGGTCCTAGACTTAACAAATTCCTATAATCTTGAAAATATCTAAAAATGAATGCCACAAGCAAACAGATTAATGCCCTCTCTAAACTGAGATTAAGCAACCTAAATTGAGACTAAGCAATCAATCTCTGAGATTATTAATAAACTGGCCATTAAAAATGTGTGCACAAGCAAACTGAAGTATTAGAAGTAGCACAGACAGCACACAATGTTAACATTTAACGTTACAAGCTGATTAAGTTATTATATCTCACAGTGGCATTAATTAAAAGCAACTGCAGTACTCTATGTGCTTTTGAACATGCTGGGTATTTCATATAAGCAGGAAAAACAGACTGAAATGGAAAGATCACATACTTTTCTTTGTTCATGCTGACAATACCCAATTCACTGCTCTCCCAATTATTCTCCATTTTTCTTAGCATTTATTAGAGAGAGAGAGCCATTTATTCTCCATTTAATCTCCATTCATTCTCCCAGTTATTCTACCTTTCTCTTAGCATTTACTTAGGAGCCTCTTGATATTTTGTCAAAAAGTGATGCTACAAAAAGGTAATTTTTTATACAATAAGAAAAAGGTTAAAAGAATGCCTATCAAAACATTGCTAAGGTAAAAAAATCAGAAAATAAAGATATGATTTCAAAACCAGGTGACAAAAGTTTCATCAAAACTGTAGCTTTCTGAGAACATAGACATAAAAGACAATGCTTTTAAACAAAATTAGACAAAGAAAATTGTACTATATTGTCTGATTGGATAAAACAAAATACAAAAGATGAAGTATTATATAATTCTGTTCAACCTACCATGAGAAGGACATCAGATTTTTTTACTACTATTTTTCTCTTCCATGAGAAGTGACAATCAGCGTGTTGACACCTATCAATGCCACTGTGGCAGTTCATGTTGTTTTACACAGTTACCATACCATACCATCCAAATTCTCATTATCATGTCTGATTGAGAATCCAACTTTACCAGCAAAGCCTTCTTATTAATGACATAAAAAATGTTACATCTTGTGCTTTTTCTTTGTTGGCTTCTCAGAAGAACCCCCTAGGTGTAGTCTCTTCCTGGCAGTCTGTTCAGGTTTGTCAGTATTCAACACATGGGAATCTATTGCTGAAATTTAAAGGTTAAACCATCAAGAACAAAAAACTCTTCAAGCATAAAAATGCCCAACTTTTAACTTTTATAGCTTCTTAGTAGCTTCATGTAGATGATGAGCAGCATACCTTATTGAGAGATGATATGGCATCTTTACTCGGAATACAGGATACTATATATCCATGACACATACTCACAGACATGATAACCCTTCAACTTATTCATGTCAGTTTCATATAATAATACCTAGCATCCACATTTACCTTCTTTTTTCCTGACAACCTTCACAATAAGACAAGACACAGGTGCCTGTTCTGGATTTGACCAAGTGAGGAATGAGAATTGTCGAGCATCTTCCCTGAGAACTGGAAGGATTTCATCTCTCAAATGGTGACAGCCTGGTCCACTAATGTCAATGACACAATAGATCGATGTGGTTGCAGGGGTGGTGTTGGAGGTGGTGGTGGAGGGTGTACATTTCTGCAATACCATCCTCAGGACCTTCCTGCAGTATACTGCATAGTTGATAACCTCTTTGTCTACAGGGCCCAGCAGAAACAGAATGTTCTGAAAGGAGTTTACATTTGACAAAGCTCTCAGTTTTGACTTCAGCATACTGACGACACAGACCTTCTCACCATCTTGTAAAACAACTTCTTGTGGATAGCAAATGACCTGGAATTTGCTATCAGTTTCAGCAAGGAGCCATTGTTTGATGCAAGAACATTCTGAGAGATCATAAATTTGCTGGCGTTCCTCTGAAATGTTCTCTTGTCTGGATGTAAACAGTGACTGTAGGTCAGCCATCACATGCATGTGAGGCTGCATACGCTCAGTGAGACCTAGACGAATAACTCTGTCAGGGTCTGTGAAATCATTCAATTTCAGCTGTAAGACATGAACTCTGAAATCTGTGTGGCCTGATGACTTCCTCTTTGGTCGCATTATCACATATTTTGCCATGTCTTCATAACCAAGGTTTCTCTGTGTTGCCCTCACATTGTCCCGAACTGCTCCACGATACCCCTCTGTAATCCTTAGCCGAGTTGCCTCTGGAAGACTACTATTATGTTGGACCAACTTTCTAAAAAAATGCACTTTCTCGTTTTTAAGGTGCAAAAGTAATGACTCTAAATATTCATGGAAGAGCAGTTTTTCTTCAGTTGAGGCTTCAAACCTAATAAATATGAGAAAAATTTTGTCAGCAAAACTGTGTACATGTGCATAACCACAATATTGTGATCAAAATGCGATCTAAAATGCTCATGTCTGTAAATGATATGTATGTCATAGAAGAACTTCACTAAGAAGAGGTCAATTTATATTTTGTGCACATTTTTCATTCACTTACATGTTTTTTAATACTGATGAAACTTCCAGCAGATAATGTAGCACTTCTTTTGCTTTGAAAGCATGGTGGCCAAAAGAGCTATTCCACACAATAGATGGCGCTTCAGCAGTATTATAAAGCTCAAGACTCTTGATTATCCTTCGGGCTTCTGGAGATGTGATGTCACATTCCACTATGTACAAAGTGGCATCAGGAATTTCCCCAGCTAGAAGAAAATAGTTTTAATTTGGTTGACATTCTGTGTTCTAGCATATCAATACCATATTATGAAAGTATCAACACACTATTTTTAAAATCCAACTCTAATGTTCTCACATGAAGAGTACACTAGAGTTGGATTTTAAAAATAATGATGGCCCTCCCTCATGCCGTCTATACAAAAAAAAAAAAAAAAAAAATCATAAAGGATTCTATTTTTGCGCTCCTCAGATTCATTTTCAATTCAGAGACAGTTATGCCTTTTCTTCCCCTCTGTTGCCACTGTCCACAGTAAATCAACAGGTTTAGAAAGTGAATTATAATAACAATCCCATGACTCATCATAGTTCTCAGTTGATTAGGAGGTATATTTGACATATCATTTATTATTTAAGCTCAAACACACATCATTTACCGTAACTTAAATGGTCATCTGATATCAACACTTAAATGTAACCCTCTGTGAAACTAATGAAAGTGTCTGTAAATATCTACTTTACATCTATGAAAACAATGAAATGCAGTCACAAAATGTTAAGATAAGATACACTGATATATCAACTCACCCTGACTGCTCAGCGAGGGATTCTCTTGAACCACTGTGTTTTTGTTTTCCCATTGTGATGAAATTGGCATTTCTTTTCTGTCTATGTACATCTCAGTTTGTTGGAAAGACTGGCAAAAACTTTCTTTGGCTTCTGAGAGAACATTTTCTAGTTTCACTCTAGTAACTGGAATGACGAGTTTTCTTGCAGAGCTCCCTTGTGACTGAATGTTGTTTGCAGACACCTCATCCTCGTCAAAACTAGAAGAATTTGATGACAAATCTCCGAACATGACTAGAGATGGGGAAAAAAAGATGTACACTTGAACAAAGTAATAGCTGCATTAAGTACACAATGTTTGCAATTTTATCCAGAAAACAAATTGGCAAAGCCATATACACTTTTAAAGGACAAGGTTCCCTCCTTCCTTCTCTGTTAAAGAACATGTTTCTTCAGTTAAAAAAAGTAATTCACCTGCCAAACTATTATTATTATCACCTTGCTCAGCGTAATTGATCAATCTCATACATTATATTCTGTATCCCATTAAGATCTTTTTAAATACCCTTATTGTTATAGAATGCTTCATTTCCATTTTGATGTTACAAGTGCACTGATGAACAAATACACATGTCAAATTATTAAGATCAGGGAGAACTGACTACGAAAGTATACTATATTCACCTACCACTTTGTTGTTTTTCATCTTCTTTTTCTTCATTTATATTTTTGTGATTTTTACATATAAAATCTTTATAGTCTCCATCTTCTATGTCTTCACTGTCACCATCTTCTATGTCTTTACTGTCACCATCTTCTATGTCTTCACTGTCACCATCTTCTATGTCAGAACCTGAAAAGCAATCATTATATTATGATGAAATGCCATGAACACTGGTGTCCCTGAACAAGATCTACTGACAGTCAATAAAAACGCATCATTTATTTATCAAATAATATTTTGGAATACTAAGAAAATAACAGTTTTCATGTGAAATATGACTCATTATTCAGTCAAACAAGGTGACTCTCTTATGACTGAACAAGGGCATTTGTACTCGTTTATATGGTTGAAATCGATTTTTTGTAAAAAAAAAGTACAAGAAAGTTTTCTGATGCGTTTTCATTGACTGTCAGTATATATAATGGAGACTGCAACACAAACAAACATCATTACAATAAAAAAATCACAACTGTTGGGAATTCCAACAAGATGACTTAATTGCTTCAAAACTTTAAACCATGTTTACCTAAGCTTTTTGCATAAGTTTTCTCACACTTACATGAATTCTGGCCTTTATTGTTGTTATAGCTATCCAAGTGTGCTTGATTACAGAAAACCCTAAAGAGAAGTACATAAAATTCTGTCAAAACACAGACAAATCCCATGGGAACTGGACGATATATAATTGTTGAGAAATCTGCAACTACAGGTACCTACTAAATACATGCATTCTAAATTTTCCATTGACATTTAGATCAACACTGCATATTGTTAACTGCACAAAATTACCACAGCTGCACATGTACATAACTGGTGTGTGTGTGTGTGTGTGTGTGTGTGTGTGTGTGTGTGTGTGTGTGTGTGTGCACACACGCACGTGCATGACAGAGGGAGAGAAACATTTAACATCTGAAAATCCACTGGACTGCAGTAGCATTTTGTGCAGAACTGAAAAATTAATATTTATAGTTACTCAAATACAGGCCACCTGCCACCATCATAATGTAGAACTACAATCTCACTGTACACATTACACTTGTGAAGCCTACTTACCTATACTTTACTATCTCCTTTCCACTTGAATTTTTTTCCACAAACCTTCTTGTTATAACAATGGGATCCTGTGCTGCACAGTAGAAATGGTAAGTCATCTTGCAGCTATTGATAGCACAGCCAGCAGTGGCTCCATTTAGTTCAGGTTTCTTCTTTTTCTTTAAGCCTTTAGTTTTAAGGCATATTCTGCATTTCTGAAGATGAAATATTCAACAGTACTGTAGTTCATGGTTTAGGTTCAATGTCTCAGAAAAAATACTCCACATGGGATCAAGGATACTGTAAATCTAATATGTGGAGAAACTGGCTGTATTTATTGTAGGCTTGTTGTATCAAAGCTAGATATCGTTGTTGTCTTTTGTTGGGTAGTGAGATGTTCTAACATATTTACCTAACATAAAGTATTTATTGTAGGTTTGTTGTATCAAAGCTAGATATCTTTGCTGGCCTTTGTTGGGTAATGCGCTGTTCTAACAAATAATTATCATCTTGTAACATGTACGTTTTCATGGGTAGGAAACTGGAATGATAAGTGCTACAAATATTTACTGATTGTATGCTAAATCTATTTTTGCACGTCCACTGCAAGTTAGTCACCTGCAGTTAACAAATCTTAATGAAAATCAGGAAAGCTATATTTGATTCTGAAATAAATTTTGAAAACCAGGAGAAAGTGGATTTACCAAAGACCGTCCTCGTCTTATTTCAGTCAACACTTCATCAATATTAAACCCACCAAAGGCAAATTCTTCTTTATACTGGCTCAAGTTGGCACTGTATTGCTGAAAAATGACAATTCAAGTTTCTTAACAGTAGATAGTTAGACCTAATGTGGGTTTTAAGTTATCAATCACAATATTATACTGTAAAATTTTCTATTCATTATTTTTTTTTTCGTGTTTTTATTAATTGGTCTTGTTGCATCAAAGGAGGACGTGCTGATCATTTCATCCCAGTACAGTTACAGTAGTCTTCCATCTAATATGGCATACATGTAGAGAAAAAAAATTCATACCATACACTTCTTGTGAGCGCTGCAAACATTAGAAGTACAAAGTTCACCACACACCGCAGACACCTCCACTCCTCTCTTACAGAAACCACAGACACTGAGTTTTTTATTGCTCTGTGGTTCACTCATAGTGAAAAGACCACCTGAAATTTAATACGGTGTTCCATATTTAAGTAAGAAAAGTAAAGGTTTTGAAAATGAATGTTGTATAACACGTTAACCTTATCTGAAACTTAAGAACGACAATTGCCAAATGTGGTTGCCATGAACGAATCCTGCACACATTCACAAACTTTACTTTCTCTAGGGGAAAGTTGGCCTGCTCTGTCCGTAACACTAGTGCCCCTTAGTACGCTCTTGTAAAAGATTGTGTGCATGGAGACACTTTGAAGTTGATGAATCTATTGAGTCACAAGCTTTGAATAAAACGTGTAGAACCTGCTCACCCGTAGTAAATTCAGACGCAACTCTCCGCACGAAACTCGTTTGCATTAATGGAGTTTTCTGATAGGAGCCTCGTTCTCGCGAAGAGGAGTGTTGGGATTTCCCCTGGCTGGGAAATTTCTTGCCTGTTAGTACCCTTAATTTTATAACTTTAAATATTTGCTGGGTTATAATTTTTCATTTGTACAAAAAAAAAAAAAAAAAAAAAAAAAAAAACTTTAACTACCCAATAAAGATCCATAAAGGTCATGCGCAGCAAATCTCCCCCACCAAATATCCAAATGATTTCCAAAATTTAATAAAAGCTACAGCATTAATACTCTAGACTGTTGAAGTATTCCCTCAAAATTTCATCGCTTACATTATGAAAAGCACAAATTTTGCTGACATATATTTTTTTTACATTCAGTAATACACTTTAAAATGTATCTGCTCAGTGGAAGATGTAGCATTTTAACTATTGGTTTTATTAATGTATTGAAAAAGCAATGCATATTTCAGTGATATTTGTTGAAGCAGTTTACAATTTGTTTTAAGAAGACAAATTGAAGACTGTAAACAGCTTTTTTTATTTTTCTGATATGAAAACAAAGATATACTTCACTTACAAGAAAGTGACTTTATAGCAACTTTTATCCCACTGATACGCTATGACAAATCCCACTTGTCAAAAGCAAAAATGTGCTTCTTTTCATTATCAACATTAAATTATGGTTTTAAAGTAAGTGCTTGTTAAAGTACATAAATAAAAATTAAAAAATAAAAATAACATCATTTCACACAAGACCGTGATTTTTGCTACATGTAATATCTGTGCAATATATCTAAAGATATCTTTAGGAACATAGACAAATAATCATTTTGAAACAAATTAGATATTAATTTCAATAATATTATTTAAGGCCTAAAGGTACACTCCATGGGTTTGAGAAGACCCAAAATGCTTATTTTGCCACCCACGGCTTCCCATAAAACCTTACATGCACCTTAAAATGATTTAACCCCCTAAACACTTTGGAGTTAACCCAATGTTGATATTTCCATTGGAGCTTATAGGAAAACGGTCACTGTTTTTAAGACTGGGCACTCTTTTTAAATTAAAATCAACCTTTATAAATTTTATCAATTTAGGTTGAATCCAAATGCAGAGGGAGATAGATAAATAATCGTGTGTACCAGAAAAACTCAATTTTGATGGGTAAACCTCATGGTGTGTGCCTTTAAGCAGGTATTTTAATGACTTTTTAATGGACTTTTTTATTCATGAAATAGCTGACATTTAAAATTTACATAAATTGTTTTCATCAATTTTTTCCTTTTCTCAAATTTGTAATTTACATACCCTCTACCAGTGCCACATACCAATTTTTTCACTGTATATTTACAGGTATATCTCAGATTAATTTTATACACTTTCCTGCACAGCAAGTATTAATAGTTAAATTGACGTCACCACTCAGCTGGCCTATGGCAGAGAGTATACAGTATTTCACATTGCACAGTTTATTGAATATATTTGATTTTAATCTCCAAATAAATATTATTATTATTATTATTATTATGTTCACGTTTAATATCCCACATGAATGTTACTGAAATAGCACAGGTTATTGTCTTCTTCTGTAAAGTGCACTGATGGCAACACTAATGGCAAAGGCGGCAATAATTGCAGATGATGGCTATACATGTATGTCCAAGCAGTTGTAAAAAAAAAAAAAAATTAAAAATAAAGTCAGATATACAAACCGACTTCATATCCCACTTATTTGTGTAAAACAAAGCTGACAAAGAAATATTTACAGAATGCAGTGCTGACACTGTGGTGCAATGCTCATGAAGAAATTTTTCATTGTTACCATTGCAGACGATTTACAATTTTACTTGCAATTATCCCACTTCACACACAGCTGTGTCAATAATGACAAAACTTTTGATGTAACCCATATGGCAAAAAAAAAAATAATAAAATAATAATAATAAATTAAAAATAAATAAAAATAATAATATATAAATAAAAAATAAATAAATAAAAAATTCTTTAAAAAGATAAATTTTCTTTTCTTTTTCTCCAGTAATCCTGATACTCGAGTAAATTTCCCACTTTTAATGCCAACAAAAGTTAACATTCAGCGCATCTGTTTGTTGTTGGCATACAACAAGAAGTTACAGATTGTGATTCCATCAAATGGGGGAGAAGGCCTAATGGCAAAATAAATAAATAAATAAATAATGGAGTTAAAAAGAAGTAAATTGAGCAAGTCTATGAATATCGAAATTTTCTCTATCCCACATGAATGACCAATCATCCCACTTCATCTATTGACAAGTTTAGTTTACTAGTTGAAATAATTGGCAGTTGTATCCTGGGGCTCTCTCTTGATAACACGAATGGTATTAAAACTTCCAGAATTAGCAAATGTTTGTAAGGTTTCATATTTATTTTTCAAATTTTCCAGTTCTTTGTGAACTTTTGCATTTTCCTCTTTCAGCCTTTCCACTTGTTGTGCCAATGTCTGTCTTTCTAGTTCTAACTCGTCCTTCTGTGACATGCGTTTTTCACGACAACTAGCAGCATAGCCACGATTTTTTAGTGTTCTCCTTCGTTGCTTAAGCTTTGTCACTTCATCTTTGGGGAGGGACTTCAGCTGACGGTTCAGTTCTCGGACGGTGAGGGTCACTAACTCATCATCACTAATGTATTCACTTGGACCATCATCTGCCCCCTGAAAATACAAAACAACCATATAAAGGTACATTCCAAAACTCCAGAATTATTGAACTCACACATTACTTAACTTTTAACTCAATTATTCACATTAATATTTTCTCTCACAAATGATCAATTTTCAACCTGACAATAAAAATGAAAGTTTTGAAAAATGGGTAAAACATGCAAGTTAGACAAAGGAATGAGTTCTCATTTATCTTGTGACAATGATGACCAGGCATCCTGTCCTTGTGAATTCCTCTGACAGAAACTTTGAAACCTCCGTCAAAGTACATGTTACTTTATTTTGAAAATTTACAAACTTACAAGCAAGGTTCCAGTTTACTGTATATGATGCAGTTAAAATGCGAAATGTCCATGCACAAAAATAAACAAACAAATAATACTTATATATAAATATAAAAAACAGCCATATGTTTAAAGTCTAAATAACAAATTGCTTTTATTTACATAGTTTTCTATTTGTATAAAGCATCTATCACAATGCTTGAATAAATTATTTTGATATAAAACACACATTGCACCAGAAATATAAAGCAACAATCTTTTTGGATAATTTTAAACATTATCCAAGGTCGCTTTCATTGAAATCTTTAAAAAAAAAATCAATAAATAAAAACTGTACAAAAAGGTTGCCAACAGTTGGGCTAACAAATATATTTATCACCATGGTAATGTAGGTGGGAAGTCTTGTTAATGTGGTGGCATGCACTGGAGGACTAGTCTCTACATTACGTCTAGATAAAGTTCACCAGACTTATTCTTTGGCAGTTACAAACATTGTCTGCAAGTATCTGAAGATAGGCCACTACATGTGCATAAAGCACTCCAATGAAATACACTACAACCACTCTCAAATAATACCAGTAAATCTCACATAGGTATACCTCTGACAAAACTACATTTTTATAATTGCCATGATGATGATAAAAGTTTTTTTTTTCATTATTTACTCAAATTTCAACCTATTACACATACCAGAAAATCATCCGTTTTTGTGCTTGACCATTGTCAAAGTTTGCAATAAAAAATAGGTATCATATTTTGGGTATATAATTACAAATGTTTTTCTTTTTTTTTTCAAGCTATAGGGACTTAATTGTTTCAACAGAAGTATTTTACACAGTTTTAACGTATATCTTTCTTTGGCATTCCATATGCATACTAGTAGGTTTCTGATGGCCAGGGATTACATATCAGAACATACACATTAATTATTTTAAAATACAAGAAATAAAAGAACCTACTCGTCTCCCCTGCATACCCTGCATCCTCCTAAGCAGTGAAGAAAAGTCCATGATCCACTTCAAAAAATAAATTCACAACAGCAAATAACCTGGCTCTAAGCTTGTTCCTTCAGTCTTATATTAACTACTAAATCTCTCTTCTACTGCTATCTCTTGAAAAATTGGAAAGGAAACACCCACGTGTTCCTCCTCTTACAGTGCATTTCATGTCTGATGTATTTACACATTGTGATTCAGCAGTTCCTGGTGTGAGAACTGCAAATTTTGTTGTATGATTCATTCCCACTGTTTGTCTTTTCATGTTCTATTATCTTTCAGTGATCTTTTACTGTAGGGATGCAAACAAACTGAAGACAGAATATGGGACCGAATTTTGAATGCAACACAGTAGGAATACACTCTGTCAAAGAATAATCTTTGTTGTTAATTATATATAAAAATGCTACTACAGTAATCTCTACTACTACGTACTGCTGTGTAGTTTGTATACTAGAGTTTATCCAAACGTGATTTTAAGTGGAAATATAATTCAAAATATTTATTAGTGAATGTGTAAATAAAGTGGTTTAAGTCACAGAAGCAATCCTTCACAATGCCCCTGAGGAGACACAATACAGGTACTGTAATATTGATACACTGCATATACCGGTTACTAGTACACATTTAAGGGCAAATAAATTAGAATTAACACCCCAAACTATAATAACTATAATCTCTCAAGCCATAAGTGTCACATCAGCACAATGTTTCGAAATTTCGCTTACCTTCTTTGTCTTTTTGCCCATTTTTTTCATCAATCCTCTTCACCTGAAATGAACGATAATGCTGAGTCAGCAACTTTACCGTCCGAACAAAAATGCTGAGTAAGTGTATTTGAAAGTGCTGAGTCAGCGTAANAAAGAGTTCCCATTTATCTTGTGACAATGATGACCAGGCATCCTGTCCTTGTGAATTCCTCTGACAGCTACAGAAACTTTGAAACCTCCGTCAAAGTACATGTTACTTTATTTTGAAAATTTACAAACTTACAAGCAAGGTTCCAGTTTACTGTATATGATGCAGTTAAAATGCGAAATGTCCATGCACAAAAATAAACAAACAAATAATACTTATATATAAATATAAAAAACAGCCATATGTTTAAAGTCTAAATAACAAATTGCTTTTATTTACATAGTTTTCTATTTGTATAAAGCATCTATCACAATGCTTGAATAAATTATTTTGATATAAAACACACATTGCACCAGAAATATAAAGCAACAATCTTTTTGGATAATTTTAAACATTATCCAAGGTCGCTTTCATTGAAATCTTTAAAAAAAAAATCAATAAATAAAAACTGTACAAAAAGGTTGCCAACAGTTGGGCTAACAAATATATTTATCACCATGGTAATGTAGGTGGGAAGTCTTGTTAATGTGGTGGCATGCACTGGAGGACTAGTCTCTACATTACGTCTAGATAAAGTTCACCAGACTTATTCTTTGGCAGTTACAAACATTGTCTGCAAGTATCTGAAGATAGGCCACTACATGTGCATAAAGCACTCCAATGAAATACACTACAACCACTCTCAAATAATACCAGTAAATCTCACATAGGTATACCTCTGACAAAACTACATTTTTATAATTGCCATGATGATGATAAAAGTTTTTTTTTTCATTATTTACTCAAATTTCAACCTATTACACATACCAGAAAATCATCCGTTTTTGTGCTTGACCATTGTCAAAGTTTGCAATAAAAAATAGGTATCATATTTTGGGTATATAATTACAAATGTTTTTCTTTTTTTTTTCAAGCTATAGGGACTTAATTGTTTCAACAGAAGTATTTTACACAGTTTTAACGTATATCTTTCTTTGGCATTCCATATGCATACTAGTAGGTTTCTGATGGCCAGGGATTACATATCAGAACATACACATTAATTATTTTAAAATACAAGAAATAAAAGAACCTACTCGTCTCCCCTGCATACCCTGCATCCTCCTAAGCAGTGAAGAAAAGTCCATGATCCACTTCAAAAAATAAATTCACAACAGCAAATAACCTGGCTCTAAGCTTGTTCCTTCAGTCTTATATTAACTACTAAATCTCTCTTCTACTGCTCTCTCTTGAAAAATTGGAAAGGAAACACCCACGTGTTCCTCCTCTTACAGTGCATTTCATGTCTGATGTATTTACACATTGTGATTCAGCAGTTCCTGGTGTGAGAACTGCAAATTTTGTTGTATGATTCATTCCCACTGTTTGTCTTTTCATGTTCTATTATCTTTCAGTGATCTTTTACTGTAGGGATGCAAACAAACTGAAGACAGAATATGGGACCGAATTTTGAATGCAACACAGTAGGAATACACTCTGTCAAAGAATAATCTTTGTTGTTAATTATATATAAAAATGCTACTACAGTAATCTCTACTACTACGTACTGCTGTGTAGTTTGTATACTAGAGTTTATCCAAACGTGATTTTAAGTGGAAATATAATTCAAAATATTTATTAGTGAATGTGTAAATAAAGTGGTTTAAGTCACAGAAGCAATCCTTCACAATGCCCCTGAGGAGACACAATACAGGTACTGTAATATTGATACACTGCATATACCGGTTACTAGTACACATTTAAGGGCAAATAAATTAGAATTAACACCCCAAACTATAATAACTATAATCTCTCAAGCCATAAGTGTCACATCAGCACAATGTTTCGAAATTTCGCTTACCTTCTTTGTCTTTTTGCCCATTTTTTTCATCAATCCTCTTCACCTGAAATGAACGATAATGCTGAGTCAGCAACTTTACCGTCCGAACAAAAATGCTGAGTAAGTGTATTTGAAAGTGCTGAGTCAGCGTAAAACGTAAACAAATTGTACTTTAAATTTAACTTCAACAACAACATTGATGTCTAATATTTAGTAGAAATAGTAACATATAATAAACGAAAATGCTAAGTTCGTTTTGAGTTCGAAATCTTATGCGATGGCTAGTCAAGTCTTACCTCAGTTGACCTCTNAATGAGTTCTCATTTATCTTGTGACAATGATGACCAGGCATCCTGTCCTTGTGAATTCCTCTGACAGAAACTTTGAAACCTCCGTCAAAGTACATGTTACTTTATTTTGAAAATTTACAAACTTACAAGCAAGGTTCCAGTTTACTGTATATGATGCAGTTAAAATGCGAAATGTCCATGCACAAAAATAAACAAACAAATAATACTTATATATAAATATAAAAAACAGCCATATGTTTAAAGTCTAAATAACAAATTGCTTTTATTTACATAGTTTTCTATTTGTATAAAGCATCTATCACAATGCTTGAATAAATTATTTTGATATAAAACACACATTGCACCAGAAATATAAAGCAACAATCTTTTTCGATAATTTTAAACATTATCCAAGGTCGCTTTCATTGAAATCTTAAAAAAAAAAAAAATCAATAAATAAAAACTGTACAAAAAGGTTGCCAACAGTTGGGCTAACAAATATATTTATCACCATGGTAATGTAGGTGGGAAGTCTTGTTGATGTGGTGGCATGCACTGGAGGACTAGTCTACATTAGGTCTAGATAAAGTTCACCAGACTTATTCTTTGGCAGTTACAAACATTGTCTGCAAGTATCTGAAGTTAGGCCACTACATGTGCATAAAGCACTCCAATGAAATACACTACAACCACTCTCAAATAATACCAGTAAATCTCACATAGGTATACCTCTGACAAAACTACATTTTTATAATTGCCATGATGATGATAAAAGTTTTTTTTTTCATTATTTACTCAAATTTCAACCTATTACACATACCAGAAAATCATCCGTTTTTGTGCTTGACCATTGTCAAAGTTTGCAATAAAAAATAGGTATCATATTTTGGGTATATAATTATGTTTTTCTTTTTTTTTCAAGCTATAGGGACTTAATTGTTTCAACAGAAGTATTTTACGCAGTTTTAACGTATATCTTTCTTTGGCATTCCATGCATACTAGTAGGTTTCTGATGGCCAGGGATTATATATCAGAACATAACACATCAATTATTTTAAAATACAAGAAATAAAAGAACCTACTCGTCTCCCCTGCATACCCTGCATCCTCCTAAGCAGTGAAGAAAAGTCCATGATCCACTTTAAAAAATAAATTCACAACAGCAAATAACCTGGCTCTAAGCTTGTTCCTTCAGTCTTATATTAACTACTAAATCTCTCTTCTACTGCTATCTCTTGAAAAATTGGAAAGGAAACACCCACGTGTTCCTCCTCTTACAGTGCATTTCATGTCTGATGTATTTACACATTGTGATTCAGCAGTTCCTGGTGTGAGAACTGCAAATTTTGTTGTATGATTCATTCCCACTGTTTGTCTTTTCATGTTCTATTATCTTTCAGTGATCTTTTACCGTAGGGATGCAAACAAACTGAAGACAGAATATGGGACCGAATTTTGAATGCAACAGTAGGACTACACTCTGTCAAAGAATAATCTATGTTGTTAATTACATATAAAAATGCTACTTCAGTAATCTCTACTACAGTACTACGTACTGCTGTGTAGTTTGTATACTAGAGTTTATCCAAACGTGATTTTAAGTGGAAATATAATTCAAAATATTTATTAGTGAATGTGTAAATAAAGTGGTTTAAGTCACAGAAGCAATCCTTCACAATGCCCCTGTGGAGACACAATACAGGTACTGTAATATTGATACACTGCATATACCGGTCACTAGTACTCAGTACACATTTAAGGACAAATAAATTATAATTAACACCCCAAACTATAATAACTATAATCTCTCAAGCCATTAGTGTCACATCAGCACAATGTTTCGAAATTTCGCTTACCTTCCTTGTCTTTTTGCCCATTTTTTTCATCAATCCTCTTCACCTGAAATGAACGATAATGCTGAGTCAGCAACTTTACCGTCCGAACAAAAATGCTGAGTAAGTGTATTTGAAAGTGCTGAGTCAGCGTAAAACGTAAACAAATTGTACTTTAAATTTAACTTCAACAACAACATTGACGTCTAATACTTAGTAGAAATAGTAACATATAATAAACGAAAATGCTAAATTCGTTTTGAGTTCGAAATCTTATGCGATGGCTAGTCAAGTCTTACCTCAGTTGACCTCTTNTTCGGGTGCACTGATTGAGTGTGAACTTCGAGTGTCTCCAAATTCAGCTGCATCCTCTCATTTTAAAGTTTCCGGCAGCCCATTCATTTCTGACACATCGTTTGTCATCTGTTCATAGAGAAATACATATTCCACGATATCACGGAAATTGTACGCAGACCAAAAATTTGAAAGAGACTTTTGATCTCAACACCACTACTGTAATTCAGGGCAGCACTTTTGCCTCGTGTATCTAGTAAAAAAAAAAAAAAAAAAAAAAGTCCGGAAAATCCCATTGAGTAGCACATGATTCTAAAAACAATGGTGTGGTTAACTTTAAATGTCTTTTATATTGTGGTTTCTCTTAAGTGTCAAGCCCGTAGCCAGAAATTGCAAAAGGGTTTTTTTTTTAATTGGACCTTTTTTCATGAAACCTTAAACTTGGATCAAATTTACCCCGAATGGACCTTTTCCCAGCTAAAAAAGGAGGGGTTCTTATGCGAAATTATATAACCTTGTCACAAGTTGTCAGCTATCTCGTGTGTACTAACTGCAAATAATGTCGTCAGAGGGCGAGTCAGGCATGAGAAGAAGTAGTCTGTTGGTCGCATCGCCAGACAGTAGCCAGAGTATAGCGCCCTCTTTTGAGAGAAAGTGTCACTAAAAGGACTTCTTAGATTAGCCCATAGAAGTATTAATTAGCCGTCTTTTTTATGTGCAGGAAGGTGGAGATAAGGTAAACATACTGTATGTAGGCCTAAAGGCAATATTCCATCATGATACTCTAATTGTGGTCTAATTTCTTTCCATTTCCAACTTTACCAAGCAGTCACATTAAATTATCTTTCTCAAAAACAAACAAACAAACAAAAAAAAAAACGAAAATACGAAAGATAACAGCTAGATCTAAAGTTCATTGTCAACAGACAGAAAAAAATATTTGAAAAAAGGGAAGAAATCTTTGTGGTTGTCGAAACCACATACGTAGGACAACGGGTCAACATGCTACTTTGCCGTGAAGGCAAGGTCAAGGTCAGTGGTCATATGGTACAAACACAGGAAGAGCAAAAAGATGGAATACTCGTCTGTCGGCGACGAAAGGTCCGACCCACTATATCAGTCAGAAGGGCCGCCGCCATACGAGGAAGAGCTTCCCAGCCACACATCTCCCGAAAAGCTGGAGACACGTTCGATTTCAGGAACTCGGATTTCAAATGCTTCCAAAACAATTCGCATCAAGAAATATCTGTGTCCACAGAGAACAATCGTCACTGATCTGGATCCCGGGGAGGTCAGGTGGTTTTATAGGGAAAAGGGTGATAAGAAATGGACGCCTTTCACTGGCTACGACTCTCTGCGGATTGAATATAAATACCGTGCCTTGCTTGACAATCTTCATAAACCAAAGAGGAAAGTGACTGAAGACGGGATCAATGTAGATCTGATATCTGTACGAGGAGCTTTGTATGAGGTGGATGTGGCGAGCAAGGAATGCTATCCTATTTACTGGACAGGTACAGGTCTTTTTTTTAGTGTTTATGGTGTACCGGTAGATGCTTAAAAGTGTATTGTTGTTATCATTATTTGTGTGTGTGTGTGGGGGGGGGGGGGGTTAGGAAGTCTATAAATAATGTATTATATAATTTTTTCTTATTCTTTTGACCTCCACAAGAAAAAAAAAAAAAAAAAACTAGATCTTCCAGTGGAATCAACCTGACATACAGTTCTCAGTTGTTTTTTTAAACAGTAATTCTAGGATATATTAATGCAGATATGGTGCACATTTCTGTGGCCTTTTAATTTGCCATATCATGAAATATTGACATAATACCAACTCCTTATTTCCCATGGGGACTTATGTTATTTCTCAACACCTGGGTCGGTTCCTGCAGCCAGTTGGGCCAAAACATTATGTATGAATGACATCACATGCAAATCAGTAATAAAGAGTTGGTGTGGGGGGAGGGGGGGGGGGGGTGGACACAATTACTAAAAGAAACTATCTTGTTATCAGGTGAACCTGCAGAGATCCTGAGGGGTACCTGGTTCCATGAGAGTTCCTGGCAGCCATTAGAGGAAGGGTATGCTGACCAGATAGAGACAGAGCACCTGGCTAAATTCAAGTCACAGAGTTTGGCTCAGAGTTCATTCTATAATCCAAAAGGAGAAAAAATGGGTAAGATTCCAGTCTGCTATCATCAATTTTTTCAGTCTAATGTATTAACCAACAACAATAATTTTTATTAGTATTTCCAACATAATACTGTTTCTTATTTATTTTCAGTATGAATCGTGGTTGTAAAAGGTCATTTATTAGAGTATAGGCAAATTATTGGCAGGAAAAAGTCCAGAACATAGAATCATTTGTGATATAATAGAAATCAATCACAGTAGCTTAAAAAGAGGTTGTCAACACTGCATGATATCATATGAGACTAGAAAATATGCATAAATGCATGTTAGGTAGGGGTTAACTTTTCAGGGAAACTCCTTGGGCTGGAAATGTTGTTTTAAAAATATATACAAAAGCTATACATGCAAAACATGGCAATTTTGTACTGTTGTGCATTTACAATCAGAAAACAGCTAAACAACCATAAAAGAAAACAACTAAAAAATATCCCTGGATATATCTTGTTCAGTTCTGCACGGAGCTTGTTAGTGTGCCTCTATTTCTGACCACATACTCCTGATCCTATGAAAGCTTGCTTATTTTACACTAAGTCAGGAGAATTTTGGCTATCTTGAGTGATACCTGGAGTGCAACATTCATTCTTCCCCTCAACTATACAACAAACATCTGCTACCCTGCTGCAAGTAGTATGCAACTGTATATCTCTATGAAAGACCTGTCTTTGTAAGATGAAACATATTGATCATTCTCCCTGCCTTTGCTGGCACTTTACCTGTAAACAGAAATAAATGATATTTGTATTACCAAGACTGTCTCAAGTGGTCAGTGTAATGAAATATCAATAAAAATTGTATAAAGTAATTGTTCTGCTAATACCCAAGCATTACAATCAATAAATTTGTATTATATTATAAGCTATCGCCTAAAGTAAGACGAAAATGGGTCATACCTATGAGCCATACTTTATAAGTGAAAATTGTAAACCTGCTATACACCGACTTTTGCCATGTGTGCAAATCTTTGATTCAATTAAATAGGTTATTTCTCCTTTGGGTTATTTCAACTAAACGGGTTATTTCTCCTACACTACAGAAAACAGAAGCTGAAAGCCATAGGACAGATTACATAATGTCCTAGTAATGCTAGCTCTTAGTGACTAATATTGATAATGATGATAAGTTAATAAATGAATGAATGAACAAATAAATAAATAAATAAATAAATAAATAAATAAATAAATAAAATTGACATTTTTCTGGCTTCTTCCACAATTTTCATTTCTTACCGATTCTCACTTTTGATTTTCAATAACTGATGAATATACATTTTAACCTCTTTTTTTTTTCAACACTTGGATTAAGCAGAGTAAACTGTTCAGTTTACATGCATTCTTTCTGTTTTCAATTTGTACAGAATCATTAGTTACATCTTTAGAAAAAAATAACTTGCCTTTGGGACTTAACCTTTGGTTATCTAAAGATAAACTAGAGAACTCCATAGTCTATCTGTTCAATAATGTGCAGACATTTAGGGCACATCTGCTGTGCTGCCAGAATTGACTTCTAAGTATTATCAAGCAGTATTTTGTAATAAAAGGTTCATTCAGAGAATAATTCATAACCGTATAAAAATGTTTTAATTTATACATTATCAAGATCAAGAAGTATTATGTAAATGTCAAAGCAACAGATAATGGAGCCCTGTAAATAACAAATGTTAATTCTCCAGGGCACATGCAAATATACCAACGTTCCTTTCCATTTAGGGTCTTTATTACTTATTGGCTATAAACCTGATTACCAACTGTACATGTTCCATTCACACTAATATTGATTTTCTGTGAACTGACTTTTTGATTGCTTGTTGCAACCTTTAGTTATCATAAAACATGTAGATTGATTGACTGCTTGCTGCAGACCAAGGAAGATTATGTGAAGTAGAAATAGATGGTGTCTCAGCAGATATTTCATTTGGTTTTGAATTTTTAATAAATTAGTTTTAAGAACTTCACTTATGTTGCAATGTCTATATCATTTTGTATCAGTTTTTTTTTTAATTGAACATGTATATTCCTCAATAATGACCGGACTGGATATGACCTTAATCTGTCCAAATTAATAAACCAAACAAAGGTTGTAAATTTGTAAAATCAATATTTTTCACTTTGTTGTATTATCTTTTGATTTGCAGTTGTCCACAACATCAAGTTTAAAGAGTTCCATATGGACTGGTACAGCCCCCTGGAGGTGTACCTCTACAGTGAGGCCACATCTTCACGATTCTACAGATCTGTCAGAGAGAAACTGGGCATGCAAAAAAGTAAGTAAGCAAGGCTGCCTGTGGGTGAAAACTGGGATCATAACCGTGGAGGATTTAGAGGGGGGGTCAGGGTGTCCTAACCCCCCCCCCCCCTTGGGTTCCTGGGAAAAAAATTACACTGATGTTCTCCATTTGAAAACTGTTCCAAATGGCACCATTTGCCCTCCAAAACACCATTATATTTTGGAGTTATTCAGCAGGCCCTGATCCCCACCACAAGGGGGCCGAGGGTTGGCTTCGTATCAGAGACCTGTCATTCCTAGAAAATTGGACACCCCCCTTCAAATAATTCTGGATCCCCCTGCAAAAATTTCCTGGTTCCTGGTTTGATTTGTGGTTGTATGAGTATAGAGGTAATTACAAAAATATCAAAAATATGTTTTTGCTTTTCAGTTGGTTCCAAACTCCATCGTGGCTATTTTGATGAAGCTGAAGGGACAGACAAGCCTCCAGACATAACTCACTTAGTGTTTGTCATCCATGGAATAGGACAGAAGATGGACACAGGGAGCATTGTGAAGTGTTGTGCAGAGTGAGTAGGCCAGTTTACTGTACAGACATTCTGAAATTGTTGGTCTTTTTTGTCATGACTGATAAAAGTTTCAAGTACAGTTAGAAAATAATGTGTTTAGTAGAATAGTTTAGTTTAATAGTGTGTTTAGTACTGTATAACAAAACTGGACCCATTTTCATTGACACAAAAAGTGCTATCCTATGGATAGCAACAATTTCTAACCACTGAATAAGAAAGAAAATAAGTATCTAGCATTTGGGGAACATTATTTACCCACATGATAGCTGCCCAAAGGATAAGAATTTTATCCAGTCTTAAAAATCCAGAATTTATGAAACTGGGCAATAGTGGTAAATGAGGTCTTTTACACCAAACCAAATTAAAACTGAACTTGTAAAAATTTATGCTTGTTTTATTACTTTAGATTATATATATTTATGTTCATTGCCTTTTCATTAAATTTATGCAGTGTAGTGAGCCTATATGTTGCAGATGTAACACATTTTTGCACATGTCATGTGCTAAATTGCACACTTAGTAATTTATAAAGCCCTGATGAAATTGCTGCTAGATTTTATGAAAGTTGTTTGACTTGGAGTGCACACTAAATAATTTATAAAGCCCTGATGAAATTGCTGCTAGATTTTATGACAGTTGTGCTTCATTGCTTTCTATGAATCAAGCCTAACATATAAATTGATTTCAACTCTGTCTGGGTGTCACCTGGCATAAGTGCAATATTGAAGTACATAAAATGTTTAGTGTAGAAAGTAAAGAGATGCAACTGTCACCTAGATAATTTGATGCTATGGTCATACTTTACATACTTTACACCTTACTTGTCAAATATATCATGAAGCTTGCAGCATTTTTGTCGAAGCACATTTTCAATTGATATCTTGTCTTCTAGATTGAGAGAAGTTGCTGGTAAATTGAAAACCAGATGGTTCCCTCATATTGAGGAAGACAGGCAACAGAGAGCAGAGTTTTTGCCAGTGGAATGGAGATCTTCACTGAAGTTAGATGGAGGTGAGCATTAAACTAACTGAATGTTCAGAACCAGTGCAACCCTCCATATGTTTTCCTTTTATTTTTCTCAAATTGTTTGAATCAGACTTTTTTGATTCTGACGTTTAAAGATTGATATTTTTATTTGTAGATTCACAGATACATTACATGGTTTAATAGAGAAGCTCTGTTTGTGTTGGTGGTGAGTGTTGTTGAGATTGGCTATGCCTCTCTTAATCTCTTAACTTTTCTCTTTCTTGTAGATATAGTGGAGTCGATCACTCCTCACAAAATCAAAGGATTGAGAACTATTCTTAACAGCAGTGCCATGGACATCTTATACTACACTAGCCCTCTCTACAGATCAGAGGTATGTTATTATCTATCTGCATATATAAATATATCATTATCGCTGTACTGAAAATAACTTCCTTACCATTTAAACTGCATGTTGACAGTGCTATGGGGAAGAATTACATCCTCAAGAGCAGGGTTTTATTCTGTTATGTTGAACTACATTGTTTACAGATGACCACATTGGCAACATTCACAACAGCAGACTAACTGGTCCATGGATCAAATATGGCAGACCCACTTGAATACTTGTTGTGTAATCCCCATAGTGTCTATTAGGGGATTGGATGGCGAGCTTTCAAATGGGTCTCCATATTTGATCTACGGTTTAATTAATCTGCTGCTGTGAATGCAGCCATTGTCACTATTATGTTGTAATCACTTTTGCTATGGTTATTTAGTTTGTGTCGGGACATACTGCTGAGAACACTTAGGAAGTGCTTCAAATCTGCTGTTTGGCGGCCACTCCCGGCTGTCAATTTTAACACTTGAATAAGACAGGCCTCCTAGTTAATTGAGTTAAGAGTTCTAATTCAAAGTTTTTGTTTTTAATTATTTATTTAATTTTCCCATTTTCTAAATTTTTTTCAAATTTTTTTCAAAAATGTAGTGGAAGTGTGTCGATAGGCACAGTTCTGTTCTTGCCCTCCTGCAGCCTTTGTTTTTTGTCTTCAGATTACACAAGGACTGCAGACAGAGTTAAACAGGTTGTACAGTATGTTTACAGATAGACATCCATACTTTGAGAGCACTGGAGGAAAAATCTCTATAGTAGCTCACTCATTAGGTCAGTATGCTAGACACTTATCTTTGTTGACCTTACATTGCATTGTAAATCACAGACAGTTGAAATAATCACTAGATGATAAACTTTGTTTTTCACCAAACAATTTTAACTGTTTTACTAGACTGAAGTTTTCATAGTGCTGAATTAAAATTAGTAAACCAAAATAGAATTGCATCATTGTGTTTATAAATAAAAAAGTGCATTATTTGGGATGTCCGCTAAAAGGTAAGGCTGTTAGTATTATTTGCAAGATTTATTGTTGTTTATGCTAGTTTTTTATCTTCCACAGGCTGTGTGATAATGTATGATATTATAACAGGGTGGAATCCTATTCAGCTGTATGACCAGTATGTGACCAATGTAATAGTAAGTAAAGAGAACACAGCACATCAGTGTGGCATGACAAATGATTTTAAACTTACAAGATGTGATATTGTGAAATACATGTGCTTTCTTTTTATGTACAGATACAATGGACTTTCTTAAAATTGCTGTTGCAGAGAACTTGGATTTTTGATTTAGAAACTATATTTCAGTCATGAAATTAATGTTGATAAAGTATCATTTCTTTCATTCATTTTGAAGCATTGAGCTTTTTTTTTTTTGTAAGATGAAGAAATGTATCAGTCCAAGCAGTGGCATTAGTACAATTTTTAAAGACTTTAAATCATACAGCTCTTTGTGTTCAGAGAAACATATTCAGACCTTTTTTGTAGGAAGAGAAATCCATGGAAGCCAATGGAGCCAGTCCTCTGATCTCTCAGCTGGAGGAGGCCAGGAAGAAGTAAGAAAATATCTGACCAGTAAAACGCTGATAGCTGTTGTTTATCAAAATTTAAGAAACAGGGCAGATGTCGTATTCTCATTATTTTATTACTTGCAAATCTAAGAGAATGCCAACTTACGTGAACAGTCAGACTAATGTAAAATGTTACAAGAATTGGAGAGTATGGCCCCAGGACACTAAAACTTACTGTTTTACCTAAAAAACAAAAAATGTCAACTGATTCATTAACATTATAAATACTATAAATCAAAGACAGTGATAATAATGATAATAAAAATAAAATTAATTAATTAAATTAAATTTAAAAAAATTAAAGTGAGAAAAGGGGAATTTGCATGAAAAAATTCTGATTGGTCGGTTTCTAGTGACGTCAAATGTGGCAGATCTACTGACTACTTTGTGCATGTGTTGTAATGAAAATGGATGGTTCACCAAAGATAGATGCTTCATAAAAACAACATGCCACAAACTTGTGTTGCACCCAGGTGCCGTAATCAAGGATACAATAAGAAAGACATCAGCTATTTTGTTTTACCTTTGGAGACAGCTAGCAGAACGTCAAATTTGGAACAATGCTTCAAGTTAAAAAATCCAAGCCAAATGTTGAAACATGCTAGAATCTGTATCAACCGCTTCAAGTCAAAATGCTGCCTGCTTGACCTGGAAGCTGAATTATGTGGTGGAAAAGCAAGGAGAAAACTCAGAAATGATGCTGTTCCTAGTATATTTGACTTTTTGGTGTACAAAAATGCAACGGTAAATGCCAGAGCAGTGCCAAGTTGTGCCTTGAGGGAGGGCGCCATGGAAAGAAAGAGGAGAGCAACTTCTGGTGCTCCAAAAGAAAAAAAAACAGTCTATAGAAGAAGTGCTGTTGGATTATCAGGTGTATTTTTGAAAACTTGAATGTAAACACGATACTGGTTTCAAAGTTTTTCTCAACATGCTACTGCAGCACTGATAATGAGTAACTGTAAGATGGGAGTAGTCCCTACAGGGTAAGTTACACAGGTGTGAAAAACAATTAAAGATGCTAGTAATCTTTGTCTGTTGTCTGTTTGAATTGCGTGGCTTACCTGGAAGGCGGCAGTGTGAAAAACTATGCCAGCTGCCAAACCTTAGGTTACTTTCTTGTTTAAGCCGGAAGTAAACAGGTACAGGTCAGCTGACATGTCCGGCGCGTGTGACAAACATGCTCTGCTACCTAACCTTAAATGTAAACGTAGAACTGTGATGTTGGTTTTTGTTTGTTTATAAATAACATCCATTTTCAGGGTTTTTCTCATCTTTTGTGTGAAAATACTTGATGTAAGACTGGAGTTGAAGTAACTGCACCTGAAACTGAATCAACCTGAATGGCTTCACACACTTTGATGCTGCTTAGGTCACTCTATAGTCTACTTCCTCGCAGCACCACCACCACCACACTAGCGTATTTTAAACTAAAATAAACCAAAATAACACCTGTATAGAATCTATGTAAAAACTAATAAAATGTAATCACTTGTTTTTTTAATCAAAAATGACTTTTGTGCACACAAATGATAGCTTAAACACATTTTTTTCAACACTGTATTCCTTTAAGTTAAACATGTTAATAATTATGTGTCTGTTTCAGTTTATTGTCTGAATAGTCATATAATTTCTTAGTTAATTTTGGGGTAATTATGTCAAAGAATGGTAATCAGATTGATAACTTCTCCCTAAGGCAAATGTTTTGGAACTGTAATAAGATGCTGTCTGTATTAAGTCATTCTTTTTAAGAAGAGGTTTTTTATTTGTCAGGTGAGGCAAATTAATGACACATTGAATAATATCTTGACATTTTATTGTTTGATCAAGAAGAAATGTTTTAAATGCACTTATATGGACTCATGTTTTGTAATATCTGTATTTCAGGGTGAATTCACTTGAGTTACAGCTGATCAGTCTCCAAAGTAAACAGAATGTACAGACACCCACTCTCAAGTTTAGGGTAAGGATTTAGAGAAAAATATAATAAAAACTATGTACTGGTATACACTGGTGATGTAAGGCTATTGTAAAATGTCCAAGACTTAGGATATTAGAAAAACTTGCTTTTTGCTTAAAAAAGATCGTGAATTTTGCACTGTTAATTGCTATTAAAGCCAGCACAAATACATTGTTACTGTGTTTGGAGGGGGGGGGCATTGAGGTTTAATTCTTGTAGAGATGACAATGCCAATATTTTGAATTCATGTGCTGGTTTGCACATAAGATATTTCATCTTGACAATTTTCATCATTTTACTTTTTAGCTGGAAAATTTTTTCTGCGTTGGATCTCCACTAGCCGTATTTCTTGCGCTGAGAGGCATGAGGCCCCAGGAAAATGGCACCCAAGACCATCTTCTGCCTAGAAGTCTGTGCAAGAGAGTTTTTAACCTGTTTCATCCTGCTGATCCAATTGTAAGTTACCAATTAAAGAACTTAAATCATCAACTTTACTGCTTATCTTGTAAATTATATTTTATGATATATTAAGGTTTTCATTATCATAGCATGGCTATATATATTAATGTAAAGTTACCCTTAACTCATAACCTCTACTAACTATCTCTCCTCTCTCTCTCTCTCTTTCTTTTTTTTTTCGTAGAATGAGCTGCTCCATATAGATAACTTGGTTGTTTTCTGAGTTTAGTATATAATTCTCCCCTAGGCCTATAGGTTAGAGCCCCTAATTCTGAAGCACTATGCCACCATCCTGCCACTACGTGTACACAAGCATGATGCACCAAATAAAGTCCCATATGAAAACCTGAAGGCCAGAGCATATTCCATTATGAAAGACACAGGTACAGGCATCACTGTATTACATCTTGATTAACTTATCTTAATTGTCATTAACAGTTAACATGGTTTGTGTACATTTTTATTCCTTTATTGATAAATAAATAAAGTCCCTGGGTGAATACTACAAATTCAGATTATTATTATTTATAATCTGCATTTAGGAAGGGAAAGTACCTACAATTTATCTTATGTCATTGTACCTTTTACATTCCAAATTTTATGTACCACAACAATTATATGGAGAGAAAAATTAAAATTTATGTCCACAGCTTTTGAATTATTTCATGTAGAATATAAGAAAGAGTGCACTAAGACGTTTGTGAAAATTAATTCATTGTTATTATTATTAGGAAAAGACATGCAACAGTTTAGTCATCTCAGTAAATCTGAAAGTATCAGGGAAGAGAAGCAAGAAGAACTGAGACAGTTGGAAATGAAGGAGCAGTCACAGGAAACCCCACAAGACGGAGGCCAGGATGAGTTTGATCAGCAGGACAAGAAACAATCTATTAAAGGTAGATTTTCATTGAAATGATATATATATTTGTACTAATGGAGAAGATATGTTTTTAGTCATGTAAATAGTAAAAGATATTTGGTCCTGTCCCACAAATTATATGTAAGTGCAGGTGTCTTTGCATTGTTAACAAAAAGTCTACTCTGATGTGTACCTGTTTTGATTATCACCTACAGTTGACTTGGGTTGTTTTGTAAAAAGTTGTATGGATGAATAATTTTGACTCATTTTAACTCTATATCAATACTAGGGGAAATTAGGACAAAGCACATGCAAATTTTATTAATTATGTATTAAAACACATGCAAAACTGTTTTGTGTAATAATAATATTAAAACGCATGCAAAACTGTTTTATGTAATAATAATAATATCAATTTAAAATTTATGTAGTAATAATAATAATATCAATTATTATTATTATTATTATTATTATTATTATTATTATTATTATTATTATTATTATTATTATTATTATTAGAGAAATGGGAATTAATATAAAATTAGTCAGCTTCCATGTAACTATAAAAGTACCATAGGTGCTGTAACAGCTGAAGTACTAGTGCATTGATATTATGTGTCCATTCTATGGCAGGCAAGCTGGGGAGCTGGTTGAGTGGCCTGAATAAACAAGTGAAAGAGAAGGATGCATCAGACAGCTCTCTGAGACCACAGCTAGGACAGGATGAAGAGGAGGAAGAAGATGCAAGACAGCTACGTTTTGATGGAGAGTTGTGTAACATGACAGAGGATTTGAGAAGGGAGATGAGTAGTGAGATGAAGAGAAGTGAGAGTGAAGAAAGCAAAGGAACTCTTAGTATTGATGAGGTTCTGAGAAATATGGAACACACAGGTAATTAGCTTAAAAGTGTCCGTCTGTCTATGTCTTCACAGTAGGTGGTGGTGGTAGTGGTGGTGGATGGGAAGGGGGGGGGGGGTAATGGTAATTTATTTATTTATTTTAATTGTGTACAAATGCTCCGGACAGTTGAGCACTCTGTTCCACACTTAAGCTTGTTATATATATATATATATATATATATATATATATATATATATATATATATATAAGTGACTGCTTAAAATAATTAGGTAAACTGGCTTACCTGTAAAAATTAAGAGCAAAATCAAGAGCAACTGAATACTTTGTGCTTATATGCCAATATAGAAAACATTTTTTTGTTTCAGAGCTGGAGTATCGTCTGGATTACATGTTGAAGGAAGGAAAAATGGAGAACCAATACATCAGTGCCATCACGTCACACACGTCCTATTGGTCCAATCAGGATGTGGCGTTATTTGTCCTGACGCATCTCTATCCTGACACCAAACCATCACCATATAAACTTAAGACAAAACACACCTGATGTTGTTATATCACAACTCTAACCAGACACCATACCAACTGAAGAAAACTTGTGGCTGGTGTTGTCATGACAATGATGATATAATGACCACTTCTGCTCCATGGCAACTTGAAGTCTACTTTAACCTTCATATCTAAATAGACTCTGCTTTAAGATTTAATTTAACCTGGAGCCAAGGGTTGACAAGGCATGGTCAGTGGTCAAATGGTCAGCTTCCTGGTGGTTTTCACGGTCAGCAGGTTTGAAGAAAAGAAGCATAGAAAGGGCTAATTTTTTTCCTGTTGAATTGTGGTTTTGATATTCCTGTTTGCCATCTCTGCAAACTCAGTGCTTTAAAAATCTGAGGAATGAAGTTTGTTATTATCCTAGTCTTTAAATAATTGCTCAATTTTTTTTAAAAAGAATTAATTAAATGGACAATTCAGTGGTTGGATGATAGTAATTTTTATGTCTTGTAAAATTGTGACCAAAAGTAAGAAGACAGGGTCACTGCATATGTTATGAAACCCTTTGTTGTCATTTAGTGGGATCCTCTGGATGCAGATGTTTTTTTCATTTTCCAACTTAAAAAAAAAAAAAAGAATAAGATTGGTCTTTGATAGTTTGGGCATAAATTACAAGATATTTTTTCTGAGGATTAAAGTGTTCGCCTCCAGTGGCAGATTAGTTTATATACTGCCATGTTTTTTATAACCTGAACTGCAAAGTCTACTGAAGTCTAAGCTCTTGTATCATTGGAATGACAAATCGCCATCAGAACCACAATGAAAGTAAATAAGGTCATTATATCATTATTTCAGATTAAATATTTTGTATGTTTTCTGTGAGTAAGAGAAAGTGGTGTTAGGACAACCTTTACTTTTGGAATACTTACCTGTAGTATACCTCTCTCCAGCATGGCCATTTATGAAGCTTGACACTTTGATTTTAGTTTGGCATCCAAATTATAACATTCTATTCAGAAAGTATTTTGTTATATACCCAAAGTTAAGATATCAAAGTTAAAATAGTGGCATTGTTTCTGCCACTGAGCTTTCGCTGATGGTATCTCAGATATATTATAGTTGATGTCAATTTAAAGCTTATGATTAGTATTTTGCTTAATCAATGTGCAGCTCTATTTCTTATGATGCTAGTATATCAGGGCTTTTGGGTAATAAATTATTACAAGTTATAATTTATTGTACAAATATTCAGTCAGTGTAATTATCATGTTACTGAGGTGTTTTTGCTATCAGTTATTAACAAATGTGCAAAAAATAAAATAATCACAGAATAAGTGTTATTCCCCTAGTTGGCATAAAACAACTTATCTATGAAAATGTGAGTATATAGGTCTTACAAAAGTGAATGTATGTTTTGTGAAACTACAGCAGGATGGGGAGGGTCCTTATAACTCCCCAACCAAGTATGGAGTACAGTGCTGAGGGATCTAGATTTAATTATAGAAGGGTAGTATCAAGCCTTGGAGTGTAATGGGTCCAAGATCAAGGGAATGAACATTTCTAAAAGCTAGACCTAAGATATCTGTTATAAGACAGGGTTAAAACTGTTATCTCAACATTCCATAATTATAATATATCATAGCAGTTTATTTATTGATTTGTGCAATTGTTGGTGCTGTTAAGATGAAAAGGGCTTTATAAGACTAAAGTAATAAACCCTTGTAAACAAACTTTTTTTTGTAATTTCAGACACATAGTTTGTGATTCCTTGGGCTTTAAGAACAATTATTAAGTGTCTATTTTCATTCATGTTCATAAAGAATTTACATCTTTTTACATATAGCTTACAGGCAAGCTTAATATGCCATGTCGTAAAAGGCTGTTACAGCTTATGAACCAATCAGCTCATCCCAGCTCATCTGCACATGCCAACTAATATTGTGATAAATGGGACATTGAGCATTTTTTTTCTCTAATGTATTTTTCTCAAATTTAAGAAAGAATAAAAATCCAAGAGAAGTAAAGTTTGTAATCTCAAGTTGTGGTCATTTTGTGATTGTGATTGTGGATTTGAGCCATAGAGATTTTAAAATGTGTTTATTCTCAGTCATGTTGGATTTACTGAACCACATAGACCTCATCAAGCCTTGGTTTATGCCTAGCACACTATAGAAAGCTAGTCTAATGGCACAGGACTTGTCTGATGCACAGGTGTGCAGAGTGGGGTAGCTGAGGGATTAGATTGGTTACCTGTCTTAAAGCAATTATTATCAGACAGCCTGCAGACAGGGAGCTCTGAGGCACTAGTAGAACAGACTTTACAAGAAACATCACTTTGAACTGAGCGGCCCAAATTTTTTAACGTGTCATGACTGTCCCTTGAAGGAAAGTAGTAATTATTAAAAATTTCACAGTTTAATTTCTATTTTTAATGATACCCTGACTGTTAAGAATTGTGAACATCCTAGAGTTAAGATTTGGAAATATGTAAACATTGAAGGAAAAATAACTTCTTAGACTTAACCATAAGTCTAAATCAAACCGTGGGTAGACATCCCTATGTACATTGACCTTATATGTAAATGAATGCTCACAACATACTGTCTATTCATTACCTGTCCCCATAATAAATAGTTATGTAGATTTAAATGTTATAAATCTTTTTTGTGGCATATTTTGCATAATGCCCCACCCCATTGAGAAAATTCCTTACGCGCTTTCCCACCCAATCTTAAATTGGCAAAGGGTGCATAATTCCGTGTTATATTTTTGCAGATATAGTGCACATAGGATTATAATGTAGACATCAGCAAGCAACAGTGTACAATTTTAAAGTACTTACTATAAAATGACAGGAATCGAATCACTAGAAACTTCACTTTTGATGCTGGTGTAGGTTAAGAAGATATTTCTGAGCATGCAGAATAATGGTGTGTGGATTTTTCTTATTTTTGTCACATTTTGGATATTGGTAAGTTATTTTCAGTAATGCATAAACTTTATAAAAAATTATGACCATGTGTCATAACTGCCTTGGGATCTCTTTCATTTTTTCTAAATTTTGGATTGAGCTGGTAAATTGGCAGATATTAAAAGTATTTCTTGTTGATCGAGTAATGGAAGGTAAATATTATTTGCTTTCATGCAATTTTTATTAAAAGTATTTCTTGAAATTTTTCTAAAGTATTTCTAAAAATGTTTCATGCCATATTTATTTGTTTGTTTATTTGTCTATTTCTTCTTCAGCTCTTTGGTTTTCTTCTTGCTGGATTAGGAATATGGATGGTTGTTGACAGTTACAGTTCTACACCAGACAAACTTGTTGGCACAATTACGGACAATTTGGTGTCTTGCCAAGTTGTGGGTTATTGCATGCTAGCAGTAGGAGCCCTGACAGTGGCCATTGTGGCTATTTTCCTGCTGGGAAACATTTGTGTTAGTGCTGGACAGAAGTCAAATCATTTGAAAATAGTACGTTTTTTTTATGTGTGTGTGTGTGTGTGTGTGTGTGTGTGTGTGTGTATTTAGGCATAGTGCACTTTCTCATTAACTATTTGACTGACTAACAGGAAAGATGCCAGTAACTTGTAATATTCTGAAATACAGGTCAAGTTTTATAAAATGAACCCAATGTTCAGGTCATAAAGCCACTATTTCTTCTTATTTTGCAGTATTTTGGCTGTTTGGTTGTTCTTTGTTTACTTCTAATATGTGGAAGTATTCTTTTGGCCTTCTCAAGAGTGGACATGGAACAAGTAAGGATATATAACTTCTGATAAATTTGCAAAATGAATATAATATTCTTGCCTTTTGTTGTACAAGTATTTAATTCAAGAGATTTGATTAAATGGGGGGGGGGGGGGGGGGGATTCAGCTTTCAGCTTTAAAAAGCTTTTTTTCTTCTGATTTTGCACATTGTATTATGCTCATTTTGTCCTGTCAGCCTGGAGATAATTGATTTTGTACACATTGAAAATACAAACTGAATATCATGCTGTTTGTTTCATGAACAACTAGTCTCTAGAAAGCATACTGATAAACAGATATGGGCATGTAGATTACCCAGAGGTGACAGACTTGTGGGACAAATACCAACAAAAGGTAAAATGAGCACTGGTATGTTATAGAATAATAAAGGGTAGAAACACACAAACAGTGATTTAAAGAAATAATTTCCCAACACATGAGAAATGGACAGTACACTAGTTATAATTAATGGCACATGGAGTATATACTAGTTGAATGGAAGTATTTATTCCCTGGTTGGTGCATACGCCTTTGCACCCCATGCTAGAAACTTGTGTAGAACCCCAAGATAATTTGTGGAGTTCAAAAGCCTCATGCATACAAGTCATGGCAGCCAATTCTATTTATTGTACTCCAAACCTATTTTGGTTGTATATTTTATTATAAGCTATTTTCTCAGTTTTTGAAGCCACATTTTGTAAAAATTCTCTTGCTATGCGCTTTGGTTCATTACTTGGCTGGTGATACCTTATATGGAAGCATCATACCTCTCTCTGAATTTCTGTTTTATTGGTTTCTCTTTAATGTTGTGTTGCATTAGTTTTAAGGAGCATTTTGTGAACATTACAACTGCTCTAATTCCTTGAAACCTGTTTTGAAATGTGTTCTTTTAGAAACTTATTCTTCTCATTCAGCTGGAGTGCTGTGGATTGCAGAGATCTGGCTGGGGAATGTATAAATCTTCCCACTGGTATCTCAGTCAGATGAACAGTGAGTTTGATCAACATTTTTTCTAACTGGATAACTATACTAAGTAGTCACACGTACATACTACATGCACAATGCAGTGTGTGACCACCTTTCATTGCCAAAGTTCCAAATATTTTAATATTATTACAATAATACTTAAAAGTGCACTGAATGATCATTTCTATATCTGCTTAACCGAGCTATCCATATGCTCAAGAATGTATTACCTTAGTAATGGTAATACATTCTTGTTCTGCTTCATATAAGAACAGGCTGGGATATATGTGAGGATAAAACACACATGAATTTCATTTCTTTTTCAGAAAATATTTTGGTGCCCAGGTCTTGTTGCAACACCACAAGTGAAGCTACAGTAGAACAGTGTCAGAATCCAGCAGACAACTACATGCACCCGAAGACTGCACCCAAACGTGGAAGACATAATAATGCTCTGTTTTATAATGTAAGCTTGTGGTACCTTATTATTTATATTTCCACAGGATCATGTAATAATAATTATAATAATAATGATGATGATGATAATATTTTTTTCTTTTCACACTTTGTTATAGAGTTGCATGGAAGGCGTGCTAGCCCAGCAAATGCTGAGTAGAGGATTTGTAACATTGATCTTAGTAGTGATTCTTGTCACTGCTTCCTCAATGGTAGGTATTTAAAAATATATAAGAATGCAATGTTGTGCTGAATGAAATTAATCATATTTTACCATGTTAACTACTTTGAGTAATTGTGAATAATTTTTTTCATTTTTGTATCACTTTGGTGACAGAAGTGCATATTTTCTGAGATGACAGTAAAATAAAATATGTTAGCCGAGTTTCAATCATGATGAAAACATAACAACATAAGACTGGTCCATTTCCTTATATATTATAGATTGTTAGCATGGGTGTGTCTATGGCCATAGTCCATAAACTAGAGGAAGAAAAGAAGACCAGGAGAAAGCTTGAACAGAAACCAGACCCATCCTATAATTTTCCAACACCACCTGATTATATTGATGAGTTTAGTTTGCCTCGTGGGTATATTTTCATGGACGAAGTTTCAAATTTCAGTGATCAAAAGTCAAATGATGCAACAAGCATGTCCTCTGGGATAGATACCCTAGAGCAAAAAAGATTTTGAGAGGTTGTTAGGACTACCTACAAACTTCCACCATCACCCCACTTTGGATGGATGTCTTGTCCTCACCACCACTTAACCAGTCGCTGGTCAACCATGGTCCCTCAGAGATTTACAGACACCACGAACACAACAGCCTGCTGTTACAGTATCAAAATAACAAGTTCTTTGTAAGATGGAAAAACTCCCAATTGACATCCATCTTGTGTTTTTAACTGTCAAATGAAAATACATAAATTGAGTTGCCTTCACATATGTAACTATGTGATTCTATGGTACCTATCTTGGATTTATTTTTTCGTTTTCATATTTTTTAATTATTTCTATATATGCAGGAGTGTGTGAGCATGTCTATAATGCACATTGCGACTTCAAAACAGAGAGAAATGAACTTGGAATGAATTCTGTTCAATACTGTGGGATGTGCAACATATTTTTTCCTTTAAACACAGAAGTGCTTCTATGCAACAACAATGCTGAGACATTTTAAACGTTTAGAAGTTTTATTTATCTCTGTACAAAGAAACCTATGCCATAATGTAAATATTTGATTTGAAAATGTATATATTTAAAAATCTGAAAAAATATCTATGTACTGTGTACTGAGCCCCTGGCCCTTTTCAGCAAAAAATAAACTCTATTTCTAATAATAATAATATATCATTTTCCCATCTACCTATTAGATAAGCAGGATAACTAGTTCTTTTTATCTGAACATTGAGCAATGCCATAACGATCCAAAGAGATTTAGTTTAATCCCAGCATATCTTTAATTTTTTTTTATTTTTACTTTTTTAATATATTATTTTAATTAGTTATTTTTCCAAGAAAATTTGCAGTGTATGAGTGACTTAATAGCTTAACATGCTCTATCACTTTATATCACAAATAGGGTCATTTTGCAAGAATAAATATAAAACAGGTCCCCACTGGTGTCACTGTCAAATATATCTCCTATGTAGTCCTTGTCTAATTCAATCATTCTGTCTCAAAAATCTGTCTAGTAAGAAGTCCTATACAAAAAGTTTTATCCCACTGAAAGGCAGAAAGAGTCAAATATGTGCAAGTAACTGCATTACCTAAACAAAGATAATCTCGAACAGCTAAAAGTTGGTGTTCCAAAAATTAGTATAATCTATAAAATGTCTCCAGATTGGAATGCTGGTCAACAGAAATGTATGATTTTATAAACAGTTTCTCAAATGCATGTCACATTTTCAAGGCACAACAGCTGACACCCACTTAAAAAGGCCTGGAAGCTTGATTTCACAACTAATACTGAAAATTTTAAATAGGCAGTTTAAGGTAGTGAGATGCAAAAGCTTATTCTCAAAGCTATTTCACTTTTTGTCAAACTTTTTACATGCATGGGAATGTGTGTTGTTAGATGCTGATATGACAGACAAAAGTTTTAGCAATAAAACGGAAAAACAGACCTGTTGGTATTATGGCTACAAACTTGTAAGTTATTCTTATAATGTTGAAGAACAAATTTATCCCAGTGTTATCCCCACATAAAGCTGACATGTATTTAGTGACCATCTTGTGACTTCTGACATATACAGTACTAACCACTACATTTAAAAACTATCCACATGAATGAAAATCTTGTAAATTAACTACAGATGAAAAACAGCTGCAATAGAAACATTTGTCTAAACTGTAAGTCCTTATGTAAATATATATTCCAAAAATATTTTAAGCAAAATAATTGTGATAATAACTGCACTCATGGTGCATAACCCTCAACCAATAAAAATATGGTAAGAAAGAACAATTCCTACAACTGCTGGACACCAAACAGTGGTGCTGAAACCACAGAGTTGACAAATTCACAGAAACAAGCACAAGGCACCCTGAGATTCTGAGTCCTGGTGGGAACTTACAGAACCTTTACCCAGCACATAATACAGGTGTGTTCTCACTAGACTCTGAAATTCAGGGTGCTCAAGGTGTTTCACTCTTAAAAAAAAAACATTTTAAAAAAGGGAACACATTGTGATTGTAGCACTGTCTGGAAGAACAGAGGTACTCTGGCTAAGCAATGACTCAGCAGTTTTCTCACCCTCTGCACCTAACCCCATGAACGAGAAGATGAAGTTTTAAAAATTCTTCCAATCTGCTAAATAACTGTATGGAATTGATTTTATTTTATGTCTATAACTGACATATGGAAGCCATTTTGTATTTTTCCAATGAGTTACATGTAACCTTAAGGTTATAATATCTAGGCTACCTTGAATGATTCATTGAAAGAGTCAATTAATAATATCACTATCTTATACATTGCAATCTACATTATGCAGACAAAGTATTTTTGAATGTCATTCTTCTCTAGTAAACTAAAGTCCTTGCTTGAACTTCTCTCTCAAACTTTTAACAGATGGCAGTCTAAGTTCCTCCACCTCTTCCCTGCTGTCTGGTTCCTCCTCAGAACTGAGCTGAGCTTCATGGGCCTCTTCACTGTTTTTTCTCTCATAAGATCTTTCGTGAAGCCTCCCTACTTTTGTTTCTATGGACGTCACCTAAATGAAAATGTTTTTTTATAAAATTGAAATTTCTGAATTCTGCATATTCTGATTTTCTCCACCTGGCCACCATTTATTATTAACAGTTTTATTCAATTAAAAGAAGTCAAAAGGGAAGATACTTCTGGTAGGCATGAGACAACTAATATTCAAAATGTTACCAATATTTAATTTTAAAAAATCAAACTATTACATTCTTGAATTTTCTAAAATTTCAAAATTGTTATAAGCCATTTAAAAAAACTTCCATAATACTTCTAAGTAAAACTCTTAATTTGCCACTTCAGTAACTTTGCTTAGGGAATGATAAAATGGACTTCATGCCTCTCTCTGTCTCTGCGTAACCTGGGCCGCTGCTCTAGCCACCTGGTCCTCCAGGTAAGACATATCTTCATTAGATGTGTCCTCAGTGGTCTCCTCCACCTGGTGCTGAAGTCTTTGAATTCTGTCCTCTAAGGAAAACACCTTGCCTGCTGTCATATAGATCTGTGGAAAGAAAACTCAAACTCAAAAACTAACTTACTTTAACACATTTTATAATAGCCGTCTTTCTTTAACCTGCTCCAATACTTTACTGTACTATAATTGTATAATTGGTTGCTTACATTTTCTAGAATCTTCATATTTTGACCATTGCTAAACTGTGAAATATGTGGCAGACTAAAGTTGCCAAACAAACCTTCTCTTCCTGCTCTGCCACCTCTTCATCAACAGACTGCCCTTGTGGAATACTCTCCAGCTTTGCACTGGGACCACTTTCTGCAAGTTTCACACTATCTGTTTTACGGTTCACAATAAAATCCCTTTTGTATCTCTTAGAGTCAATTCTGTGCAGCCCACATTGGATTTTCAACACATCGTCTGGATTGCTCGGCTGAGGGTCCACTTCAAGATGTGACACTGCTTTTAGTCCCCCTTGTGGGATTTTACTTTTTGAGCCTTTGGTGTATTTCTCTTCATGCCTCTCAGAAACACCTTCTTTAACAGGAGATATGGCAGTGGATTTCCTCTTTTCTCCTGACAGAACTTTCTTCTTCTGGACCTTGGGTTCCTGTGCTACCTGATCTGAACTGGCCTTTACTATGTCTTCAGCAGAATTGAGGACCTGGAGGGCTGTTGAAGTAAGCTTCCTCACAGTTTTGGCTGTGCTTGTCTGGAATTAAGTAATTGGAAGATGAGAATATATGTCAGACCATAACCTATCTCCTGACCCACTGTTTGTCATTGATCATAAAAAGATGTCAAAATGAAAACTCAACAGTGATCAAAAGTAAATGTCAAGAAATATACATATTGAAAAAAGAGGGTATAAACTTTGAAAAACAGACACAAAACCACTATTACCACAAATTACCCAATAATCCAATTCCAAAACTAAAAAAAAAAATTGCACCATATGTTAGAAATTGGTTTGAAAGCAGTAGTGCCCCCTCAGAGAGATTATCACCAGTCACATTTCTGGGGGTATTTTATTTAAAACTGGATGTTTTGCTCCACACCTTGCTTACCATGTTCTCATGTTCAGTCAATAGTGCCTCTTCATCTACAATATGATACTGTCTCTCACCACTGGGAAAATGGTGTTCTACACCCTGTTCTGGGTTGTTATTCTGTGAATGAGTCATCTGTAAACTTTTAGATTTGCCATCTTCTGAGAACTGTGGAAGGGTGGATTTAGCATGCTAAAAAAAGATTATATTAAGTCAGTAGATACAGGATAACATTGTGATAATTTCACTTGATCTGCCTAGCATTCAACTAGTCATAGTCATGGAAGTACATGTTTTAGTGCTTGAATTGAAAAGAACTCATAAATAAATAACATTATTGTAAAGGTAATAACTGTAATGATAAAAATAATTACAGATTAATGACTAAGTAAAAAGAAAAAAATTGTTGAGACTTATCCAACCATGACAGAAATTGAACTTAATCATCTTCAGGGTTCTAACAAGGGTATTAGATGAATCCAAACCACCCTTTACCCAATCTTCAATTAAAATGGCATGTCCTAGAAAATCCTGGTTATTGGATCTTAGTTACAATAATACCTGCGGTATTATCATCATCAGAGGTTCTCTTCTCTTTAGAGATGGGTCAAGCATGAAGGATGCCTGCCACTTCTTCTATTTGGCCTTCTGGGCGGCCTGGTCACACACCCCCCCCCCCCAAAGCTTTTTCAAAACAAAATGTGGATCCCCCCCACAAACCAATTCACTTCACAAAAGGGGAGAAAGATACTCTGAGACCAACAGAACCATGTTTTGCATACTAAACACTGCAGAATGTCTCACATCTAATATTGGGGAGGTGGGAGCCACTGTCAGTCTACCTTGGATCCCCAATATTGTTGAATTCTACCAACCTGAGTATTAGAATTGTAGTCAGATTTTGCAGAAACATTGTCATCAACTGATTGCTTTCTAGTATCCTTTGAGCCATCTTTGCCAGCAGGTGGGTTTTTGCTTGTTTGTACAAACTGGAGGATACTCTTGGATTTCACTTCTGACTGGGGGATGCTCTTGGATTCTACATTTGGAAGTGCTGATAAAACAAATATTACATTAAATTATGAAGAATTTGAAGTCCCTAACCATGAACTGTTGAACCTATTTCAATACCTATCAGAAAATAACAAATTTAAAGATTCTTATGTTGGCAAAGATTCCTTGGGTACACTGAGATTATATTATATAATAATTATAATTCACATACAAAAATAAAAAAGGCAGATAACTTGGAAAAAAATGCTTGTAGTTTTCCCCTTTTATTGATCTTTTTCTAAGTATTTTTCCTTATAAAGCAAGTTTAAAGAAAAGGTATACTATAAACAGCTCCATAATAAATAAAACGTAAAACATAATAATAATAATAATAATAATAATAATATCTAACTACTGTGCAGGTAACTCAACAGAGTGGAGTATGTGAACGTTAGAATTTTCGGCATTTACCAAACACTCAAAATTTCTGTCTCACTTACCCTCTGGGGCAGGCTCTACTAGCAGCTCTACAGAACATTTCACTTCTCCACAGATATTCCTGGCAGACACCGTGTATTCTGCATCATCATCTAAGGAAGCTGCATCAATATACAGCATGTAGTCTCTATTGCCTGTTTTCACTATAGCAAAAAAAAAAAAAAAAAAAAAAAAAAAAATCAATGTTAGCCTAGACAAAATTTATTATTTGGTACACCAGCATCACCATTATGGAAATCAGACAATCCCTATAATTTAGCAGTTATATGCTTGTTAAATACCGTATGTTTAAAGGAAAAAAAATACAAACAGCTGTTGCTCATTAATTAACTTTTCAATTTTGTCTGTCCTCATGTTTCTGTTCTATCAAATTTCAGGAAACTGAATGCATTAAAATTTTTCTTGGTCTAAATGTTAAAACATAATTCAAATATGAATTTACTGATGATCAGGGGTTTATGTAACTTCAATTGCTCAATAATTACAATTGTGTCACATTCGACCTGCCAAAAAAGGGACACACTTAAATACCTGAGTAGCAAGAAGCAATGTGAGATATACTGGACAGGACAGCAGTTTGACCAAAGGTCTCATGTGTGACAGGCCCCCCCCCCCCAATTCATTCCCTCTCTCTACCTACTTAAATACTTACTAATTGTGCACTCTTCTGAGCTATAGATCTTCTTTCCATCTTTAAACCACAATACCCTGGGTGGTGGATAACCCTTGACCTTGCACCTCAACTTTGCACTTTGACCTTCAATGACCTCCACACTGGCTGGTTGTTTCAGGAATTCAGGTTTGCTCTTATCCATTGGGTTATCTTAATAATAAAATTAGCACAGCATTGCCAGTGAAAAGAAAAATGAAGTAAAATAATCTCCTGAACCACAACTTGACTTTATAAATGAGGCATTTAAATAGCTCAGGCAATGTGCATCCTCCAAAGATTTAAATCTACAAATGATAAAATACCAGTTCATTTTCTTCAAATTGCTACTGTGATAATATCTTTAATTCTTAACAAGGGCATCAAATCACCTGTCTAATGTAATAACTGGAGAAAGGGGACGACCAAGTGGCATGTTCCACCAAATAATACATGTTTTTTAGTCATGACACCCTATAATTTCACATATAAAAATGTCCCCATCACGTCTTTTATGGGCACAAATATTGAGGACACTGGTGTTTCAGTGGTAGAGGAAACAATTACTATGTTTATATGCTTTTCACAAAGTAAAATATGCCAATATTAGTTCTTCCAGTTTTGCAACATTGGGCACACTATTAGAAATGCCTAGTCTGGCGACAGAAGAGGTACATAATGATGATTAACAATACAAGACAATACAATAATACTACTGGTAGCTTACCACCAAATATCCAACAGGACAGATACAAAACATTATTTGCATACCTTCAACTTTCAAGCCAAATGTCCAGTAGGACTGCCCTTTCTCATTGATCACTATACACATGTACTGGCCCTGGTCAGCCTTGGTGGTATCAAACACTTCCAGTGTATGGACATCTGCTTCTGTGCTGCACTCGTATTTATCTTCATCTTCTAGCTGGACCACTGTCTTGTTGTCCCGATACCAAAAGACATCTGAAAGTGTCAAATAATATAATATAAAATAATCAATAAAGAAAGAGAACACTCCAATGGAAATTAGCAAGCAGTGGACTCAGAGTATAGTCATTCAAATTAATTTTCAGAAGTTGTGTTCTGTGAAAACCTTTATGATTTATTCTAGACTAATGAGTTGCTGTTCATCCTGTTACAACTATTCAAACATGAAATTATAACACAAACAGGAACAAGCAAATGAACTTTCATGCATATCATCTACAATGCTCAATAGCGAGCCAAGACCTACCTATTGGCTGTGTGCCTTTTACTTCACACTTAATTTGTGCAGTTTCTCCTTCAAGGACTTTGACACTTATAGGTTTTATCACAAATTTTGGATCATCTACTTCCATTCCTGACTCTACTGGCTCGTCATCGCTTATGGTCTCACTCACTGTGCCTGTAAGATGGCCTGGGGATGCTTCTTTTGGAGACTTAATTTCCTTTGTGGAATCCTGAACTTCTTGTACAGGAAGCTGATTGGATGCAGCTGTTCTTTGCAGAGATGATAATTCCAACCTGTCTGAGCTATTCGGACTGGTCTCTGCTGGGAATTTGTCCCCAGTCTTCCTGGCATGTTTCTTTTTACTCTTCAAATTTTCTGATCTTTTTTCTTTTTTGAAAGAGCTCGTTCTTGGAGAAAAAGAACCCTCGCTGTCATCTAGAATAGCAGCATTGAAAGATGCCAGAGATTCTAGCTCATCTTCATCCTCATCCTCTTCCTCTCCCTCCAGAAAATGTTGGTACTTTGTCAAGACATCAGGTGAACATTCCATATCCACAGTGTCCTCCTCGTCATCTGTCAGGGTGTCATCAGAAAGTTCAGAGAGATCATCAACATTCCTGAAGTTTAATATTTATAATTCATTGAAATGTTTTACATTTTATAATTTATATTCATTTCCATCATGGTCCATGGTAAAAATGTAGTGGAGTCATAATATTGCAAATATATACCACCAAACCATTCCACAACAATGGTGAAATAGGTTTTTTTTTCTTGTGTTATAAGGAAGGTTGAAACATCATAGTAGAAAAACCTGTGTAGTCTCTGTAATAATGCTTATATCTACTATTTATTCTAACCTCAAAACTGCCTGATAATCTAATGATGAATAAATTCATTGCAAAAACATCTCCTTATTACATAAAAGCTACAAATTATATAAACATGTTCAACATCATGATTACTTTTATCACAATCAAAATAATATATGTATTAAGTTACAAACTTAGACCAGTGCTAAATCAACAGGCCTATACTGGACTTACTTCTCTCCAACTGTGGCAGCAAGAGGCTGGTTAGCTTTGGGAACATACATCATCAAAGAGTCTTCCCTCTCTGTATTACCTAATATCTTATTCCCAAAGTTATCATATGGGGAGATTTGATGTTTCTCTCTAAAAAACCAATTTCCTGTCCAACTTCGGTTGGACACAGCAGATTCTGTGTCCCAGGTCAAGTGACTCTCTACATCCGTCTCAGGGAGCACAGATGAGTAATCTGTCCCTGCCACAGACAGCATATCTGGGTCCACCTCTCTCATACTGTCATCTTCTTTGAATGACGGTAGTGGCACCTGGTGTTCCTGGAGAGTACTATCATCTAAATTCACTTCATCCACACCAGAGATAGTTGACAAATCTTCATTGGACAAAGGTGCAGTTTGTCTTAAATCTAACTGTTCCTGTTTGGTTCTGGCTTGATGTCTGTATTTTTCTAGCACCTAAAAAATGTATTAATGTCAGTTAAAAGCCATTTGAAGTATTGAATCAAAATATTGGCTGATTAGAAAGAAAGTTACACTTTTTGGTGAAATCAATAAATGAGACTTATTAAAGTTCTTAAATTTGTGAAAAAGAAAACAGCAAATGCTATTAGCAGTGTCTATATATGTGTATAAACAAAGGAGATACTAGAGCAAATTATTAATAGCTCCTTAGTACTAAACCAAAATTGTTCAATTTTTCTTTTTCTTTCTTCCACTATTTTTCTCGATTGGATCAATCAAGAAGACTTTTCAGTGGTAAATTAAAGAGACAGCTGAGCAAAGTTCTAAGCTATTTTACAAACATCTTTTAAAAAACTTCATAAAACTGAAAGTAGAAAAAAAAACAAAAAAAAAACAAACAAAAAAAAAAACTGAAATTCAAGAAGCATCCCCTGCTATATCAGCTTTTTAAGTAAACTTCTGATATACACTCACATTATGAACCAGTGCTCTGGAGAGTAGATCCTCAAAGGGCTGACCACTGTCTACTGAGGTATTGGGCAGTGAGGGGTCCACAATGGGCTGGACGGTGGCATAGGAAAACAAGTGCCATTACAAAGATATATACATAAAACATAAAGTAAGAAAAATTAAAAAAAAAAAAAAAACCTAGGAAACCAAAAGCAATGCAATTCTGAAATAAAAGAATGGCAAAAAGAGAAAGACAGTTTTGATCACGCATCTGTCTGGTTTTTATTATATGACAGGATAAATGTTGTAATTACCAACTCCAAAGGCCTTCCAAGCACCTGTTCTGCTTGTTTTGTCACCAGTTCTTTGATGTTCTCATGAGTAGGAGCAGCCATCATATCTCCTCCTGCTGTCACTAAAATGAAAATTTGATATAGCATTTAATTAGGAAACGTAGGGTGAAGATCAAGCAACTTACTGTAACTCTACAGTGCTACAACACACACACACACACACACACACACACACACACACACACACACACAATTAAATATTATATTTAATTATATATTTATTGATTTGGTGTTTAAGTTGGTTTGTATGTTTTTGAGTTTTTAAATGGTCAATGAGATGATTTATCTAATTCAAAAATAAAAAGTACTGTCCAAAAATTTAAAACAAATCAACACTTACTTAGTTCAGCGGAGTGCATGGTACCCACTAAGTTTGCTAGAGTATTGCGAATATGAGTCTGATACGCTGACATTGCCTCATCATCTGATAAGTAAATCAAATATGTAATCACTAATTTAAAATAATTCTTTTATTCACTACTTCGATGTACAAAAATATATCATTCAAATGTCCAGATAAATCTACAAGATTGTCATTTATTATTAAATTACATTTCTATTTGACTTGTGCCTTACATGTGCCTTGGTCTTCCTCTGATAGGGCACCCTGTGAATGACTGTCCAGTGCGACTTCCATTTCTTTCAAAATGTTGCTTAGATCTTCTCGAAACTTGACAAACTCTTCAGCCTTTATTGTGTCAAATGACTGCCTGGCTGCTGGAAAATAAACACTTGTCTCCACAAACAATATAGACTCCTTAAAAAAATGTGTCATAAAAATATCTAAATTCAGAGGATTTATCAAAAGGCATATATATGTAGTGCTACACAGCATTACCAGGCACAAGCAAATGGGGGGAGGCGTGAAACAACTTCCCCCCCCTCCAAGATGTTATCAACCAAACCATTCACGATATAAAATGTATGTACTTTTCCTCACCTCTCATTTCCAACTTCCAAATACTCAAAACAGTTGACTAAGGCTAACAATTTGCAATCTATGTTTGCCAATGTGGAAAATGCAACATCTCAGTACATCTTGAGATAGAACTGTCTTCCAATATAAGTTACATTATTCTAGCAAGCAGCATACAGCAGTTACCTTCCACCTCATCCAGTGGCATCAACCCATCGCTGCCATTCAGTGATTCTTCCAAGAAGAGGTTTTGAAATGTCGGCCTAGTTTTTCCAAAACCTTGTTGAGTACTTTTAATAGAATGGTCATATCCACTGTCATTTTCACTCTCAGCTAAAACAAAAGGAAAAAACTTTCACTAAGCCAGATTGTACTTGGGGAGTGCATACCTCAAGTCAAGTGTCATGCCATTTTTAATTAATATCAACAACTTTGGACTTCAAAAGTGAAATGACTGAATATGTCCATGTACACTTGCTGTACAAAACCTAACTGGAGCATCAAAATGTATGGCAAACTTATATGAAATACATGAGATCATGAAATGTCCATATTTTCCTGGGAAATCCATTCTGCCAGGTAAACTTCATGGAGAGTACCTTCAAACAACATTATTGATGATATACTGTTTTGTTTGTAAAAATATAATAAAATATAATTTGGCCATTTTCAGCTGAACACTCACACTCAATGTTTTTCTTGTACAATGATCTTAGCACCTTGGCACTTCCAAACCTCTTGAATCTCTTCCGAACATTTTCATAGAACCAATCACAGCTTTGCAATTTTAAATTACTGCAAAGAAACAAATATAAATTCAATTGTTTTATGAAATGTAAACTATAAAATGTTTCATGAAATTAAAAAAGTGAAATGTTCATACTTTGACTAATTATACGATGAATGGCATATTTACCAAGCAAAAACTTGTTGTGATGGCAATTTGTTCAAAATAGCATAGCAGCACCAGATAATATTAAATACAAGTGAATATATAAGTGACAGAATATATTTCTATCAGTTTGAATACCTATGAAAGGATTAGAGAGGTGTAAGCTGCCACTGGGGTTTGTAGTGCCATCCACATTTAACACAATGTTGGCCTAAAATGTGCTTTATTTTCTTTTTTACTGTGTGTGTGTGTGTGTGTATTTATTAATTTTTTTGGAAAACTTTTAAACTGAGTATTAGCAGTAAAAACAAGTTTCAAACAAAATATAAAGAAATCTATGTACAGACCAGATATTTTTTTGATTTTGATAGAGTTTGCAGAAATGTTCAGCAAACTTTTGAGCAAGATGACAAAGTCAAGGCATAACAAGATAGCACTCTCATTTAAAACATTAAAAAAAAAAATTANACAGCTACACACACACACACACACACACACACACACACACACACACACACACACACACACACACACACACACACACACACACACACACACACACACACACACACACACACACACAATTAAATATTATATTTAATTATATATTTATTGAATTGGTGTTTAAGTTGGTTTGTATGTTTTTGTGTTTTTAAATGATCAATGAGATGATTTATCTAATTCAAAAATAAAAAGTACTGTCCAAAAATTTAAAACAAATCAACACTTACTTAGTTCAGCAGAGTGCATGGTACCCACTAAGTTTGCGAGAGTATTGCGAATATGAGTCTGATACGCTGACATTGCCTCATCATCTGATAAGTAAATTAAATATGTAATCACTAATTTAAAATAATTCTTTTATTCATTACTTCGATGTACAAAAATATATCATTCAAATGTCCAGATAAATCTACAAGATTGTCATTTATTATTAAATTACTTTTCTATTTGACTTGTGCCTTACATGTGCCTTGGTCTTCCTCTGATAGGGCACCCTGTGAATGACTGTCCAGTGCGACTTCCATTTCTTTCAAAATGTTGCTTAGATCTTCTCGAAACTTGACAAACTCTTCAGCCTTTATTGTGTCAAATGACTGCCTGGCTGCTGGAAAATAAACACTTGTCTCCACAAACAAAATAGACTCATAAAAATATCTAAATTCAGAGTATTTATCAAAAGGCATATATGTAGTGCTACACAGCATTACCAGGCACAAGCAAATGGGGGGAGGGGTGAAACAACTTCCCCCCCTCCAAGATGTTATCAACCAAACCATTCACGATATAAAATGTATGTACTTTTCCTCGCCTCTCTTTTCCAACTTCCAAATACTCAAAACAGTTGACTAAGGCTAACAATTTGCAATCTATGTTTGCCAATGTGGAAAATGCAACATCTCAGTACATCTTGAGATAGAACTGTCTTCCAATATAAGTTACATTGATCTAGCAAGCAGCAGACAGCAGTTACCTTCCACCTCATCCAGTGGCATCAACCCATCGCTGCCATTCAGTGATTCTTCCAAGAAGAGGTTTTGAAATGTCGGCCTAGTTTTTCCAAAACCTTGTTGAGTACTTTTAATGGAATGGTCATATCCACTGTCATTTTCACTCTCGGCTAAAACAAAAGGAAATAACTTTCACTAAGCCAGATTGTACTTGGGGAGTGCATACCTCAAGGCAAGTGTCATGCCATTTTTAATTAATATCAACAACTTTGGACTTCAAAAGTGAAATGACTGAATATGTCCATGTACACTTGCTGTACAAAACCTAACTGGAGCATCAAAATGTATGGCAAACTTATATGAAATACATGAGATCATGAAATGTCCATATTTTCCTGGGAAATCCATTCTGCCAGGTAAACTTCATGGAGAGTACCTTCAAACAACATTATTGATGATATACTGTTTTGTTTGTAAAAATATAATAAAATATAATTTGGCCATTTTCAGCTGAACACTCACACTCAATGTTTTTCTTGTACAATGATCTTAGCACCTTGGCACTTCCAAACCTCTTGAATCTCTTCCGAACATTTTCATAGAACCAATCACAGCTTTGCAATTTTAAATTACTGCAAAGAAACAAACATAAATTCAATTGTTTTATGAAATGTAAACTTTAAAATGTTTCATGAAATTAAAAAAGTGAAATGTTCATACTTTGACTAATTATACCATGAATGGCATATTTACCAAGCAAAAACTTGTTGTGATGGCAATTTGTTCAAAATAGCATAGCAGCACCAGATAATATTAAATACAAGTTAGAGAGGTGTAAGCTGCCACTGGGGTTTGTAGTGCCATCCACATTTAACACAATGTTGGCCTAAAATGTGTTTTATTTTCTTTTTTACTGTGTGTGTGTGTGTATTTATTTATTTTTTTGGAAAACTTTTAAACTGAGTATTAGCAGTAAAAACAAGTTTCAAACAAAATATAAAGAAATCTATGTACAGACCAGATATTTTTTTGATTTTGATAGAGAGTTTGCAGAAATGTTCAGCAAACTTTTGAGCAAGATGACAAAGTCAAGGCATAACAAGATAGCACTCTCATTCAAAACATTTAAAAAAAAAACAATTTTATAGAAAATCAACAAAAACTTACATCTGTCTCTGGCAGACATGGCAGACGTACACCTCCACCTCCTTGTTCCAGGAACAGCAATCCTTGCAGACATTAAACTTGCAGACATCACAATGGACACGACTTCGGAATAAGAACACAAATGTCCGGAAACAACGCATGCAGCAGTTATCATTAAAGTTCTTCTGCTTCGCCAATATTGTGGTCTTCGTGGACTCTTCACTGATCTCCTCCTTGATCAAGCTAAATGAGCAATATACAGCATGCACATCAAGACTCAGTGGTAGACATCTTCTTATGTGGAGTATTTATTAGGACTATCAGCCATTAAATTTTTCGATTCACACATATTTTATATGTTGGATAATGATAGTTATTGTACTGTTTATGTAGGTATAATTTTTTTTTATTAGTTTAAGCACTTTCTTAACAAGGTTATTGTTTAAAATCGGGTGCTTGCATAAAAGAAGTTATTTAGCATTGAAAACTAACCTCAGCCTCTTTTTCTCTTGTTCACGCAATTCAAAGTCCTTCTGGATGACTTGTAAAATGCGATCACACTCCTCCTTGGTGAGGCTGCTTACTTCCAGGAGCCTGCCCATCATGTGCTGTACATTGACCTCCTCCTGGCTGGGCTGAACACTGGCTCTTACATTGGGCGGGGGGTGGGGAGAGGGGGGCTGGGGACTGCGGTCGCCACAATACAGCTGGCAAGTATCACGTATAGTGATACACAGGAACAGATCAGATGTATTAACTGGACAGCACCGTTGAATGAACTCCAAACACCTGGACAACTTCAAGGGAACTGTGCAGGTTTCATGTGTACATCTTGTGACTTTGTTCTCTCAGTCCTGAAAATAAACCCATCTATGTCCAATTACAGTTCATACTGTATAAAACTGACTACCTGCATACATTTATACAACTTACATATTCTGTGGCAGCCAGGTTAAAATTAATGTGATGAACCAAAGAAGTGACTGTGTAGGACTTCCATTTAACATTTTCATAATCATGCTCAACTCGATTTTCCTATTTAGGAACACATCCTGGTAGCCTGTAAACCCGTCAATGCACCACATTATCTCCGTTGCTTACTATTCATTTTCCTTCATATAATAACATGATAAGCTGCCTTATCCAAATACTAAGACACAACACGTTTATATCCTAGATTTATCTATACATTATTTATAGCAAGAATATTCTTACATCAAACAAACCACTTGTTATCAATACTCTCGCTTTGCGCATTTAATGTAAAACTCTGGCTTGTAACCTGATATGCTCAAAACCTGTTCACCAACCCAAATTGTGTCTATTCTTTTTGGGTCTGTTCAACCCTAAACCTTTCTCATCTCACTTGGATGCACAAAACTCCTAAGCTGCTGCTTACGTGGCACCAGGAATTATCAGTCAATATACTGGGCTCCATCAAGTTTTTACCCTGGGTAATAGATGGAGATAAACATCCCAGCCATATTAAGTTGACCTCCCTTTATACACATCTGTGTCCTAAATAAAAAAATCATGAGAAAGATCTAAGTTATCCAATGCCGTATACACTGTATATTATTACCTGTGGTATACGCCTCTTTTATCCTTTTATCACTCAACAAGCTGTAATATCCCACGCACAAAACCAATGTCCTAGTTAACAAATTCATTCCGCTTCAATTCCATTTCATAATATCCATAGATATATAATTATATATTCAACTGTGCTTTTGTTGAATAACCCATAATAGGAATTATTTAGGGGTCATATGTAAAACTGCAGGATGCAATGAAACATTAAATGTGAACATTTCCATGGTTATTATGTGCCTAGTAATTCTGCCAGCTGTTTACATACAGATGACTAAACAGCCATGGCTAAGCAGGGTATGCACACTAGGAGTCCAGGACCTACTAGTACTTGGTTTTTTTTCCCCACTGCTTCAGCATATAATTTGTGATCTCTATCTCACGATTGAATTGGTGAATACCAACTAGAGTACTAGTATACCACAACATGAACACAGAGAACAAAAGTGCATAAAAAAAGGATTACACAATGTAACCCATAATTTTAAGATTCCTGAATAGAAAACCTCTTCTTTCTCATGTCAAACCTTTTGTTGCCAGTTTTCTGTGGAAGACATAAAAAGGCCTAACCCCAGTCAGGCAAGGTCTAAACAGCTCAACAAATTCTCATACAAAAAAATACAATAAATGTTATCAAAAATTGGCGAACCGTGAACTTTTTCTTCAAGTTGATGATGAGAATTATACACAGTTACTATAGGTTCTTGAGCTAAGGAAAATGTCTCAGATACCATATACCATGCAGTAAGATGAACCAAAGTTTAAAAACAAATTATTTATATAAAATCCCAATGGAAATATGCACAACATTCTTTATTTCCCATTTCATCTCAGTTCCTCAAAATACAGTATCATCAACTGTATCCCTGGCACTGTTATTTGTGCTGCCACTGTGCTACAAAGTCACTGGATTGACCTAGATGGGAGAAATCTTGTAAATAAAGAATCATTGTACAGGAACATATGAACAAACTGGCAATTACATCTTAGGGACTGTTCACAATGAAATTTCTGTGAATGATCCCTTAATAATAATGTGAAATAATCATAAAGGAGATGGAGATGCACTTCTGACACCACCACTGCTTCTGTAACAAATATCACCAGGTGCTAAGTAAATATTTCAAAATATGAAAATATGTTGCAATGATAGGTTTGAATCATCTTATTGTTGAGTCACAATCCAAAAACACTCCTGTACTTTTCAGGTATTTTGCCACTTTTGTCTGAGCTGAGGACAGGCAGAGGATATGTGATATTAAGATATTTTGTCACTTCTATGTGAGCTGAGGACAGGCAGAGGATATGTGATATTAAGATATTTTATCCCTTCTGTGTGAGCTGAGGAAAGGCAGAGGATAATGTGATATTCAGATATTTTATCACTTCTGTCTGACCTGAGGGCCGACAGGGGATATGTGATATTAAAACAGACGATTCAGCATCACAGGGTCACAGAGAAAATCTTACCACTAGATGTTCAGATTTATTTCTCTGGATATTCCATGTACATTTGTCCAACTAGCATTTTAAAAAATATGTCAGCACCTAGGAGGTCTTTGGTAGACAATTGCAACATGACCCAAGATGATAATTGTAAGCATTTACTCCATTATAATCCAGGCAAATATACATCCATCTACTAAAAAGTCATAAAGTGGCATTTATCTTTTCTTCATGTCAAAAAAAATAATAATAACAAGGATTTGACCTGTCATAAAATACATTTTTCATAGGTGCCAGTTGCAGTATGATCTAATATGGTAATTAACCTAGTAAGTAATTCATTTTCGATTATGATTACAACAATTACACAGACTGAGGGTAGGCTCAAATTATCTCCTCATTATGGGCATCACTGCAGATGAAAATTACACAAAATATACATTTTATCAAGGGCACACAGTTCAAGAGGATAAGTCAACAGTCCTCTACTAGTATACAGACTTTACTCCACACTGATCCACTCTGAAGTAATACATACGTCATTACTGGAAAACAGCACAAAGTGACATACAGTCAAGACTTCAGTCTGCAGTTCATGCTTTCTCTCTAACACTCTGAGTCGTCTCTCATGTGTAATTTTTATATTTCCTATGAAGAACAAAGCTGGTATTATTGTGATTGTATTATGAGGATTGTTATATATATCCAAATGAGATAGTATATGTGCACAAAGATTTCAAATCTATATCTGCATGGGCTTTAAATGTCTATCAACAGATGATTACCATGGTTATAACAATGTGGTATCCTCTTTATGAGGACTTCACTTGCTCCCTGAAGGAACACCCCAATCAATAAATAAGGGGGCTGAGTCCGGTCTTAACTAACCATGGTATGTGACAGGGCTTTGAGAACCATAATTCAAACCATTAGTGATCAGTTAAACTTAGTCCTCATAAGCAGGACAAAACATGGCCACAGTAATCACCTGTTGATAGTCTCTGTAAATCTCAAAACAGATAAAAAAATTGTTTATCCATAATAATGATTCAGTGAAAATGACCTGTGTTTGAAAAAGGTATGTGGAGATAAGTGAGTATCGGGTAGAGAGGTTAAGATTATAAATAACCAGGATATATTGCAATGATAAATGGACTTATTATTTCAAAATATACCTAAAACCTACCCACAGCGATTTAAATAAGTGACTGAGTGATACTGTGATTTTCTTTTTTACAGCATATTCAAACTTGAGTGTAGACAAAAACTGATGATGATTTTTACCTCATATCATATCTATCGAGGAAAAAAAAGTATGTGGGAATTATAGCAGCTGAATGATATTAGAAACTACTTGACATTTTGATAAGGTGCAAAATGTAAATTCATATTTATTTACCATCTAAAAGTTATACATTTGGGATGCACGTTTAGTGCGACACTCAACAGTCGTAGTGGTATAGCAAAGTACATGAACACAGTAGCTGAGCAAATTGAATTTTTCTTTAATGGTAATTTCAACTCTTTAAAATGGCACAAAAATTTTACTTGTGCATATTTATAAAGGTATATGCATAAATGGTACTTTCTGTTATGTACAACTGAATAGGTTGAGGTTGACTGTGGTATAAAAACTGGTAAAGTTCCTAATTCTCATTCCATAGGCCTATTAGGGTTTCATATTATTTCTCACCACATTGACTCTTTTAGCTGGTCCGTCTGGCCCAGTTTTTGCTGCGCATATGGTCCCAACAAACAGTACCAAAACCCATCCTTTTCTCAAGTAGTTTTCTGTTACATATCATGAGTAAATCGACTTGATGGCCTTATGGTTAGAGTGTCTACCTCAGGAGCAGGAGGACGTGGGTTCAACCCTTTAAACAGAACCTGTTGTCTCTCCACTTGGTACTCAGCACTCAGGTGTTAAAGCAAGGGAAAGTTGGTAAGGCAGCAACAGACATCTATTTCATTTGTTAGCTTTGAGCGCCTCATATGGCTGACTGCATCCTTCCCAGGGAGGCTAGAGTGTCGACAACTAGTCTGTATCTTGGCCAAAAATGGCCCGGTGTCCATTATAAAATTATTTCCATGTCCTATATCAGCCCCATGGGTGGCAATTATAATAAAGTTATTATATTTATGAAGTGCATCAGATGAAAATGGAATCCTCTTAATTCATATTCTATGCAGGGCTCAACATGTGAGCTCGAGTTTATCAAAATGTAAGAATTTCTACAAACTAATAAACGTGTTATGATCTGATATGGATTATTTTTCTTCTTATTGTATTTTTCCTGTCTTTGTTTTCTATTATAGCAGCTTAGACCATCAAGTCTAGAAGAACGCGCCAACACTTGCAGTACAACTGCATATGGTGGTGACAGCCAAACAATTTGGTTATATTATAAATTCTTTTCTATTTATAGAAAAATAAATGTAGAATAAAGCTGATTTGGACTAAAAAATAACTACGTTATGCCAGTGTCAAAGACAGTGTCCAGATAGCAACAAAATTTATATAAGTTTAACCATTTAAATTGGTTCAATATTGAACAGTTCAACAGGTGGCTGGTGTCATGACCTTTCCGTACATGAATTTAGAGATAGGACTTAAACTTGAATGCATTCTATGGAAGTCAGGCTGCAACAAACGGCAGTGCCCTGTAAAATAGCAAAACTTACCCTAAAATAGTATGTAACCTTGCTCTTCTAACAGACCGAAATGTTCCCCTATTCAACCCATATTCACGAGTACTCGACTCTATATCAACAGGTGCCCGGATGTGGCTATAAAAATATAAACATATGTTATATATACATTGGCACACTCATATAAGTAGGGACCTATAAGTAGGTCATAAATTAGAGACTACATCCGTACCATGAGATGTGTCCCCGCAGGTTCGTTACATGGATTCAGCCAGTAACGAACCAGCTGGGAATGATGTCGGCTGTGATCGATGTACATGAAGGGATGAATATATATCAGTGTCATCTGTCTTTGGTCACTGCATGTTGTATTAAAATTCACGTATGTAAGGTTTACCCGAATAAAAACACAAATCGAGCTTCTATCCACCCCTATTAATGCCACTGGCACCAGGGTCCAAGAGAGAATTTAATATTTTTACTTTTAAATATATATTTCTCGGACTGCTCTTTTTACATCCCTGTACCTTGGACATAATGACGAATTATTATGTCCAAGCCTGTACTAATGACCTCGCGACGAAATGGAAGGTTAATTGGTCATTGTTATACATAACTACATTGTACCCCCTGGCACTGAAGGCCTGCGTCCCACTGATAGCAATCATGACGGTTATAATTACCCCCCCCCCCGCCAAGGAGGTGATATATATATATATATATATATATATATATATATATATATATATATATATATATATATATATATATATATATATATAGTGGTAGTTAATTTCACCGTAACATTTTGGTCATTAGTAAGGTAAAACAATAGTATACACTCAAAATACCATAACAATAATAACAATTAACAGTAATAACAATGATAACGATAATAATAATGCCAATAACTTTAATATGAGACTTTAGATAAAAAGGCCCCTATAGGCCTATAAATAATTGGGAATAGTTTTGCTACCTATTATGTCTATGAATTATTTCAAATAAAATTATGACTAACAAGTAAGATTGTTAGTGTCTGAGTACCCTGACGACCGGAGGTGAACTGTTATTGAGTGGAACGCTTTTGAGACACTTATTCACAATTTTGCCTCATTTGTATTTCAGATTTTATTTATGCCTGATATCTTTTCTACCTATAGTGTACCCTCTACCAGGGCGACAGATTGACTTTTCACAGATATTTACAGATAGATCTCTAGATAAATAGACAGTCATTTTGGTCTGATGTCAACAAAAAATGTCCACAATAATAACGGAGACCCTGGAAGAGTACAGTGTATATGTAGCTGCAGGAGATGTACTGTACCTTAGTCACCATCTCGCGAAAATCCTGTAGAGAATATTAGACAGCTCTATGTGGCGACATTGTTAAAGTTCTTATGGTAATCGGAATTTCAGTCAAATTCACTGGGTTATGTACTGTATTGTGTTTATCAAATTAAAATAATTCTCCTTTACATTCATTTGCAATACGTAGGCCTACGATGTTTTATTTTATTAAGCCCAGTTTAAAACTTAAATGCTGCCAGTTTGTTATAACTTTCAGTCTTTTATCATCAGGAAATAAGCCTGAATGATAACATGATCTATTCTCTGTCTCATATCTTTAATTATGTACATTGCTACAAGAGTACCGATAGTTTTATTTTTCGATTACATAACAAGTAGGCAACCAATCATCGGGGGATGTTAGAAGTAGAACACTGGCCTACCTAGCTAAACCACTGAAAAACTCCAACACCAGTTATTTTTAATATGCGGCTCCAAGTGAGAGGGCTACATTTTTGACCAAGCGGTTGACGTGGGAGGGGGTTTTGACCCGCCGAATTACCAGAAGGTTGGGTTGTTCCATGAGAACCATGCATTTAGAGGGTTAGACAACATCATAACCAAACAGGCACACGAGCAAGATTACCTGGATAAGACCGACCGAAGGAAACCACACACTGAAAACAAAAATGATTTCATACTATCTTTGCATCATGGAATGCCATCACTGCTCAAACGTTACAGAACTTTTGGACTCCACGCACAGACAGGTCAGGTGCGTCTTACAATTCAGAGTATACTGTAAAAAATACCAAAATGTAGCTTTTATTTATTTTTACCATCGTTAACTTATGCATTTTTTGTACAATCAGTAATTTTTTTGTGAAAAGATCCTCCTTTTTGAAATAGGGGGCACAGTAATTAAATCTCGGCTCCATTCGTGTGAGAGGCGGAGAGACCATTTCAAGATTAAGCGGTCTTCCTTTCATGTAAGGTCCACCATATTTGATCCTTGGACCAGTTGATACTCTAATCTTCTATATTCTGAATGGCCCGATGTTAAGCTTTTCCTTCCACTTGTCATGGTTGTTAAGAGGTATTGCTTCTTTATCTGAATCAATTTCCATCCCCAGAAATGCACTGCATGACGTCACGCCTAGCCCACTGCGCATGCGTGCATTTTTAATGAGTTGCTAGGTTGCCATAGGAAAATGAATGGGTTCGCTATTCGTGGGTAATTCGTGAGAATTGACAAACTAACGGCCTGATGCCGATAGACAGCAACGCTGTGCTATGCTTCAAGCAACTCCTGGCCATATTTCGATAGGGTTTTTTTTAAAAAAATTCTGTTGTACACACGTACTAAGAAGTTTGCCGTATATTGCCTAGCCTACCCTCAGCAAAACGCAAATATTTTCAGTAATAGTGATTTTAGACGGTAGATTCACTCAGAAACAAAGGCAAATTAATTCGTTGCCGATAGCACCAGCAGATAGCAGTACTATACAGAGTCTGATTAAAAACGTTCATGACAATTGAAGATTTTTTACAACTGTACAATGGAGTCCAAAAAGAGCACTTGGCACAAATGTAAAACTGCCCAGTGCAAGGCCAAAAATTCAATCAATATTTTCAATCATATTATCAGATTCTACATAGTTTGACTGACCATATCACTACTCAGTATTTAACTAATCTCTTAATCCAAAATTCCTATCATCGTTTAATTATTATGCAAAATTCTTCTTTCAGATTGCTATTTATTTAAATTTTTAATGCTGCAACTGTTCCAAAATAATCTTGTAGTAAAGGAAAATGCAAATAAGAGGTGGAAGACCAATTTTACCCACAGTATTCAATTATTTGAATATAAAAAGAATAAGATCACGATTTAACAAATTAAAATAATCTTTCATGAACTTTTTCATGAATAACATATTAAACAAAAATAAAAGTTATAAATCAGTGGTAATGGCTTATTCTGGAATATATGACCTCTGCACATCATCAGTACCTGACTTGGTACTGTATAGTTACTACTTGGATACAGAGTTAGATTTAATAATGTAACAATAAGAACAATATATATTATAATAATAAACTTCTCTGCACATATCAGACGCTTGTTACCATGAACTAACACTACTTGACAATGAGCTGAGCACTTATCACAGAGTCTGTGTGCGGTTAGTTGAGTCACTTGCAGCCCTACTGTTGCGCCCTCGCGTATCGCGTGAATGCTGCACATTTCTGGCCATGATTGTTTACTGACTTTAATAATACAAGATTTTTATTCGTTATTACTGTATGAGCCCATTTAGAATAAAAGATCCAAGGATTTTCTGATCCACTGATCAAATATGGCGGACACCACATGAGAGAAGAGGCGACTTATATGCTGATAGTCTCCCCGCCTCCACACGCGCCATTAAACAGATTAAATAACGGCATCCCTGCAAGTATTGAGCAAAAATTGGCCAAATTGGTCAGACTACGTAAGAATTTGGCGGGAGGTGACCAGCGCACATAGACGAGTTTATTCCATATAAACTCGTCCAAGCGATGTTTCCTCAAGAACCTGGGTAGGGAGTACCCTCTACCAGGGCGACAGATTGATTTTCCACAGATATTCACATATATATGTCTATAGATAAACAGACAGACATTTTGGCTCTCAGTCGCCTCAACACAGTGTAAGATCTCACACATACCTTGGCGTTGGGATGTGGACATTTACTGAACTTCAAAGTATTTATTCAGTGACCTTAGCAGAGGCTCTTTGGTATCAATCCAAAAGAATTTATAAAATTATACGGTATAGCCATCTAAACCAGGATGTTTTTCTTTTGGTTAGAGAATATATATGCAAGAAAGTTAGGTTAATGAAATACAACATACCAGTATATCACTACATGCATTCAGGTCAGCAGATTTCATAAAACACAATCTAAGATGGGGAAAGTGAAAATATGTGTGCTGTGCATAACCTCGGTAGTGATAGTTGCCCTTTATTGGGGGGAGAGTAAAATAAGCAACAGATATGCGGTGAACAACAAAGCTTCTGGAAAAGGTAAGACGTCTCTGTCTTTAAGATAATCTGTGATGTTGACAATTTACGTACAGTTACCGACCAAGTATACAAACAAAAGAATTACCAAAAATTTGAATCTGAATGGCATTTTTGCACCTGACATTTTCGTTTATTGTCGTTTTTATTTGAAGATGTCTAACTGCTTATTCATGGCACCACTTGACGGTGCGGACTGCAGACTTCAGCTCGCAGGTCACGCAAGGGTTTTTATAACTTAAAACCATTGATGCAAATTTGACGTTTTGATGTCTCAAAATAGCTGATGTTTTTGTTATTGTATCCGATCGAAATTACGGCATCTGGGTGTCACACAAGATTGCCGCACGGCATGCTTTTTTTATGTCACCTCGGATTTTTTTTATGATGTTACAACCCAGCAGTCCCAATTAAGGAGTAGATCCACTTCATCGACGTCACTATAAAGTGACCAATCAGATTTTTTGCATTAAAGTTCCCCTTTTTTCACTATAAAATAATTTGAAAAATGCTGTGCATTTATAGTATTAAAATTTTAAAAAATCAGTTAACATCTCAGTATAACCATGGAAGTATTTCATCTAGACTACTCTGTAATAACTCAGTATAACAGTATAACTTTAAGAGGAACGTCAGTGGTTTATCAACAGAGTAACGTCTTCGGTTGTGTGTCGGCTGAAAAGTTTATTAAATTAGTATGCGTACGTGAACCAGAAAAATGGCTTCAGTATTACGTAAGGTCAAGAAACGATAAACAATCTCATACTTTGATAAAAATTGTACCTATATGAAGACTTAAACAAAAATTACAGCTACTGGGCACAAACTGTTGCTCAAAATGGTTGTCACACCTAATAAAATGTATGCATTTTGTTACAAATATAAAATTTTGTTTATTGAACAGTTGTATCATTGCAGATAAAAAATATTTTATCACATACAAAAGAAACGAAAACACGGTTATATTGCACACTTCCTGTGGATTGAATGTTTTCTTAATATCGCCCCTGAAAATGCGCCGTTTTCAATACAGATTCTGTTAATAGGTTAACGCCTATAAATCCCCACGAAAAGCCCTCCCAAATCCGCCCAAAAGATGTTCAGTTGGGTTCATATCTGGGCTTTTGGCGGGTTGATCCATGAGCAGAATGTTGTATTCGTTTACAAAAACCGTTGCCAAGTGGCCGGAATATTGCAAGTGTAGGCTACATGTGATCATAGAAGTACTTCTATGATGTGATCGATTTATTTTGTAAGATATCTCTGTACGCCTTGGCGTTGGCGTTTTCTCACAGAAGAAGGAATTGTCTCACACCTATGGAAAAAAAAGCATCCCAAACATGAACAGAAACACCTCCAGTGGCCTCATCTACGTTTTCTTGTAACATCTGGCATGGCTTCAGCTCATACCACACGTATAGATTGGTGGTGGGCAGATCTCATCTTCCTCGAAAATCCACTTTATATCAACGCAACAACATCCCTTTTATAGCTAAGCTCGCAACATCTATTCACATACCCCTCACACCCTAAACTTAATTTTGGAACTGCCATCCATTGACGTGCTCATATTTGACCTAGTTTATATCAAATGGTCATTGCTTACTACCAAGAAGAAAGAATCCAAAATAACAACATAAATACAGCTTAAAATCCTATAACATTATTCAGAAACCCAAATTTTGCAGGGTGTGACAACCACTTTGAGCAACAGTGTATAAAAATACATATCGATTAACAACCTGGTTACCAATAATATGCAAGACAGGATATGTCTATGGTATGGCTGACTTTAATCCTCTGATAGCGTCCTGGTGCGTATTTTCAAATGAAGTATACATACATACTCCACCTGGAAGTTTTTAAACAGTATGCATTGTGAAATATGACCACTTTTTCTTAGTTATAGATAGGACCAACCAAGGGACCAACCTTCCAGATGGAACGTATTTTGCCAGTGTTCGGCAATTTCCCGATGACACGTCTTCTTCGGCTGCTCCTTTACCGTACGAGGTCCCAGGACGGACATGTTCTCACGACAAATGTAAACAAAAAAGACATATTATTTTCTTGAAGGTTCATAAGTGCGGTTCTACCACTGTCTATTCAATCTTACATCGGGCAGCAGCGAAATATGGGCTGGCTATTTTAAAGCCACTGCCAGGAAGACCTAGTTTTTACCCGAGTAAAGATCTGAACTACCCGCTCCTTCATGTAAGGAAGCCAACTTTTGCAGATGCCGCATACAGCCCTAACAAAACATATGATATGATGATTCATCACATGGTTTTTGATGCTGAAGTAGTAAACGCCATGATGCCGAAGGATTCATTTCGCATAGGAATTGTCCGTGAACCATTTTCTCAATTTAAGAGTGCCTTTAACTTTATGTCAATGAAAAGCAAATTTAATATTACATCCTCGAATAGTCTGCAAGCATTTTTCCAAAACCCGTATAAATATTGGAATATGTACATACGCCGAAGTTATAATAGCTTTATCAGAAATGGGATGATGTACGAGTTTGGATTTCCAGATGACGACATGAAAATCAGAAACAACGAAACTTTCATTAAACAATATATTGATTACATAGATAATCAATTCGATTTTATCATTGTGAATGAGCTGTTTGATGAAAGTTTGGTTTTACTTGGTAGAAAGTTATGCTGGAAGGTACACGATTTTCTGTATGTAAAGCGAAATGCTGGTAAGTACACTCCTGAATTTAAGACTGAAGACGACCCATGGATCATTCAACAACACAAAGCATGGAGTAAAGCTGACTATCACTTGTACGACTACTTTTTGACCAAATTGAAAAAGACAATTTCTTCTCAAGGTAAAGACTTTTATGACGAGCTTGCAAGTTTTAAAAATGCTTTGAAATGGGTAAAAGGATGTAGGTTTGAAAATGTGATAGATGTCTGTCAAAAAAATGGCCCCGAAACAAAAGTTTCAGTGCGGTGTGTGAAACATGACCGGAGAAATAAACAGAACTAATTCGCTGCACTACTAGTATTAATGGACGCTGGACATGAAGAAAACACGTCTGACATGGTGCCTATGGAAAAAACGGTTACCTTAGCTTAATAAGCATTGTCTATGAAAGTGTGTTTGACTAGATAAGATTTAGCAAAGGACTATATTGAGATTTATTTATGTCTTTTTTTTTTCAAAATAAATGTCATTTTGTGATTAACTTGCACTTATAAACGTTAACGTTTACATCTCGTGAGTAGCATTGTGCAAGAAAAAAATCATAAAATGGAATCTACTTTAGAGTTATTATTTCAAGAAATAAAACTCGTGTTATTTCAATTTATAAGATTCACTCCTTTATAAAGAAAACCCCAGTGAGAGCTTTATAAAGAATGTATACAGGGTGTCTCAAATAACTTAAACAGTTTTAAAGGCAGTACAATGAAATTTGGCATATTTTAGGGAAATGATGTTTTAAATAAATGATGAAAATTTCATGACTCTATCTTTCTTAGTTTCTGTATACCGACACCGAAAAACCTAAAATATTAAAAATATAAATGCCATGCCGGTGTGTTTGACTTCTGACAGGTGCCAGTGTCTGCCAGTTTTGACACCCGTCAATGAGTTTTTGTGATGATTATAATATCAAAACGGTTTCAATTTAACACTTGGAAGTTTTAGGGTTGAATAATAATATTGATGTTTCAAAAATTGGTTCAAAATTTCAATTCAAAGGCTGTGAACTGTTGAAGTTATTGGACTTTGAAATTAGTTACGTTTATTATTTTGCCAGCCATACACTATAAGATGTTAACATCACCAAACATTACTAGAATTTTGAAGCGCCTGGAAGCTTCTACTGTTAAATATGACCCAGAAGTATGTACAGATTAAAGTTTCTGAAAACATGTTGAATACTGGTGTCATCATACCGACTCCCAGAACGTTCTTGAAAGTTGTTTTGATTATCACAACGGTGCCCATTTCTGGAAGCGTCAGAAATATATGAAAATTTCTAAATCCACGGAACCTAAATAACTGGAAGGTATAATATCCCAAGAGACCAGGCAATGATCAAGCAAGGTTCGCTATTTGCACATTCCAAATTGAAATCAAAATGAATACTGTTTGTTCTAAATATGGTATGGTGATACATGTACACATGTACCTCAAGGTGAGTGCACGTGTTGATGGAGGCAATCCTCTGAACCTTGCAACTTTCTGACGAAAATGGACGTGCCAAAATTACACATATAAGGATAAAATAAGCCATGTCTGTTAGCAAAATTAAAACAAAATGCTGACATACCAGGGTAGCATGGCGCTACTGGCACTAACTTTGAAAAAAGCCCCCGCAGTTCTTTCAAATACATATACGTCAGTTCTTATTGAGTGGTCCGCCAAACCCTGTGTCCCCCATCAATATGCATCAATATAAATATGTGTCCAAAACAGTTTCGACAATCGTTTTAAACATTTGAAATTTTATTGGAGGACGTTTTAAAGATTTCATTCGAATTTCATCCGAACATTACCCTCACCTCTTCTGTACACAATGATTTTATTTTTGCAGGGTTTCAGCAAACGTCTCAAATACGCACCAAAACATAACGGGCCTTGGACGCAAATAAATAAATAAATAAATAAAAAGAAAAAAAACCGTTGTGTTCGTCCAAGAACGGGTATAGGTCGTAAATATAGCTTGGGACCAGTTAGTGGTAATAAGATATTATTAATCATATATAAACCAGGTAGTGGTAATAAGAGGGTATCATAGTGAGTATTTTATTAAAATAAAACATGAATTTCTCTCAGCTGCTACTTTGATACCATCAATAATTTACTGTATACAACATTGGTCAAAAAGGTTGTCCCACCTCCAGTATCATGTGCTTTTATTTATAAATGATCACATCATCGCTACTTTGATACCATCAATAATTTACTGTATACAACATTGGTCAAAAAGGTTGTCCCACCTCCAGTATCATGTGCTTTTTATTTATAAATGATCACATCACAGGTGAAAATTGTTTTTACCGTGACTTTGTTTTATGCTGAGATTTAGTTGGGTCCACCTTTGACGTTAAAGAGCACATTGGGATCAAAGGCGGTCTACACCAGTTTAAACAAGCCCTTATAGCAATAGGGAACCATTACAAAACATTCAAACGTGTCATAGCAATTGCAACGATGCAAATTTTGTGAAAAACGCATTTGGCACAGAATTCTGAAAAGAAGAAACCCTTTTTGTCTGCTGAACGCGGTTTACAGGTGGTATGACAGGGGCAAATCCAGGATTTGAGGGGGGGGTCCGTTTTTTTACGGCTGACAGGTCTCGATTCGAAGCCGACCCTCGCCCCCCTTGTGGTGGAGTTCGAGGTCCGCTGAAGGGCCTCATAATAGGCCTACATGTATTTTGGTGTTTTGGAGGGCAAACGGTGCCTTTTGGATCAGTTAAGAACTATAAATCAGCTAGTTTGAAGGGGGAAAGTCAGGACCCCCCCCCCCCAAGTCAGCCACTGATCCATATAATCATAGTCCTTTTGAATAAAGTAAGTATTGATCTCTTCTTTTAACACGGATGCAAATTTTGGACTTCAACGCATTTATCTAGGGGCAAATAAACTAAAATTCCGGACTAACAGTACAACGAAAGATAGGCTATATTGTGAAACAGGTCCCTGGATGTTGATCAAGGGCCGTGGATGTTTGTTTAAACCATCTTTATTCCCACTATTTAAGTTCTCATCACCATCACAATTCCTCTTTTTATCCCACATTTACATAACATACATATTTATATCACTTATTTACTGTAATTGTAATACTGAAATATGCCCTAGCTTCACGAGAGATGGTTAAGTTCACGAGATATCAAAAAGAGGCGCGCGACAAGTGACAACCTATGTTGCGCCACTGCGCCACGAACAGTGGCCACATGTACAAGACAAAGTAACCCATAACCTGCTTTCAGTAACAGAATGAAAATCATCAATCTGAATAAAAACACATATCCAGTCAAATACATTGAGATATGAGAAAAAGTCAAATTGTAATGCTCACACGAAGTTTAATAGTTTATTGGATATGAGAGTAGTTTACAAGCAGTCATATTGGCCTTAAATTTTCGCCTTTTTCAGCTCCATGCTTGATCTCAAATTTCATATTTTATTCCATGAAACTTACTGCACATTGCTACTTATAAGGCGTGATGTTTCAAACATGGCAAATTATACCATTAAGTTCAAATTGATCAAGATAATGAAATTATTTTGCCAGCAAAAGCCACAATAAAATCTCAATATGATTTTTTTTTATTTTAATTTTTTCCTTTGGCCCTCCTGGGATTCCATACAATATAGTCCTCAAATACACTAGAACAAAAAAGTTAGGAAACATCGTTATTTTGAATAATTATAAAACAGCCATATCAGCTAAGGTAAATATTTAACCAAATATTGACGGATAATGCACCTACCATTCGTTACTTTTAATATATACCGAAGATTTTCCCCACTACATTACATAGTTTTTAATTTTTGAAAAACGATATCCTATTTCCGAACTTTTCGACCAAATGTAGATCTTATCTGGACAAACAGTCTTTGCCTAGCAATGATCAAGCTACGATAATCTTTTCTGTGACAGGCACCATATATTAAATTAGTGAAAATTTTGTTTTTTCATTCGAGTGATCAGTAAAACTTGACGAGTTCTGTTTATTTGTACGGCCAAATTTTACACACTGCAGTGCAACGTAAGTTCCACTGACATTTCGTTGACATGAATCTATCGCATTTTCAAACCCACATCTTTTCACCCATTTCAAAGCATTTTTAAAACTTGCAAGCTCGTCATAAAAGTCTTTACCTTGAGAAGAAATTGTCTTTTTCAATTTGGTCAAAAAGTAGTCGTACAAGTGATAGTCAGCTTTACTCCATGCTCTGTGTTGTTGAATGATCCATGGGTCGTCTTCAGTCTTAAATTCAGGAGTGTACTTACCAGCATTTCGCTTTACATACAGAAAATCGTGTACCTTCCAGCATAACTTTCTACTAAGCAAAACCAAACTTTCATCAAAGAGTTCATTCACAATGATAAAATCAAATTGTTTATCTATGTAATTAATGTATTGTTCGATAAAAGTTTCGTTATTTCTGATTTTCATATCGTCATCTGGAAATCCAAACTCGTAGATCATTCCATTTCTTATAATGCTATTATGACTTCGGCGCGTGAACATTTCCCAGTATCTATACGGGTTTTGGAAAAACGTTAGCAGACTATTAGAAGATGTAATATTAAATCTTCTTTTCAAAGAGAAAAAGTTAAATGCACTCTTAAGTTGAGAAAATGGTTCACGGACAATTCCTATGTGAAATGAATCATTGGGCATCATGGAGTTTACAACTTCAGCATCAAATATCATGTGATTAATCATCATGTCGTATGTTTTGTTTGGGTTGTATGCGGCATCTGCAACAGTTATTCTCCTAAAGTGAGCTCTCGGGTCATCTTTACCTTTACTCGGGTAAAAAGTAGCTCTTCCTGGCAGTGGCTTTAAAACGGTCAACCCGTATTTCACTGCAGCCCGTTTGAAGATTGCAGAGATTGTGGTAGAACCGCATTTATGAACTTTCAAGAAAATAACATGTCTTTTTGCTTTACAACTGACGAGAGAACATGTCCGTCCCGGGACCTCGTACGGTAAAGGAGCAGCCGAAGAAGACGTGCCATCGGGAAGTTGTCCAATACTGGCAAAATAGGTTCCCTTTGAAAGGTTGGCCCCTTGTGTCCTATCTGAAACTAAGAAGAGTGGTCATATTTAAGATATTTATAATAATAGGGAAAATCGCGCCCTCTCCGGCGCGATCGAAACCGTTATCGGGTTTTGTTCTGGGATCGTGGTTGTTGCTGTTCTCCCCTGGGAAAATAAATTCCAAGCTAAGATTAAAGTTTCTTCTTGTTCCTCAAATTTCAGGTAGTGTTTTATCGAAGTTAAATAGTTCACCACAACTGATGAGACAAAGTTGGAGTTTTAGTTAAAAAGAAAAACAAGGCAGCAAAGCTGTCAAATGTACAGACAAAAAACAGGAAATAACTATGCACAAAATAGGCTACTGTCAATTCTGATGCAAAAGTACATTATGTTAAACTGCAAATTCAACATCAAATTTTAATTATGCTCAACAGGTAACACCAATGTAAGTAAAATGTGTAACAAGCATAAGACTTCAGGCCCATGGGAGTTCAAGTTCACACTTTGAAAATGTATAACTTCCAGAAAAAGAAGCCAATTAGACTGCTTTTCCAACTCAGGCTGCATTTTAGTCCTGTATTTCTTTTTTGAAAGTTTGGCTGTCATAAGTAACATGGTTTTCCCATAATGGTCACCATGGCAGCAACACCCAAAATTGTATTCTCCATTCTGATGCAATATTACATAATGG